ATGTCTCGCCATCCAAAACAGCACCTCGTGCTGCCACGTCATGGATGACCACTTCAACCGTCCGGATGCCTCATCGACCATACAAAACAAAAGATCGCAGTATCCGGTCGCCACGTGGCAGCCAGCGACGACAGGGTGGCGAGCGTCCAGCGTGCCTGCCTCCCATATCACGCGTTGGCTTCTTTTTCAAACTGCACCTGCGTGCACGAGACACGATGGGCGCAAACTTATCCACATCTCAACATCAAACGAATCTCAACATCAAACGAATCTCAACATCAAACGACATCGAATCTCAAAATCTGGCGATTTACGACACAATGACGTAGCGCGACCGTTCCTCAAGCGTTTGGACTTGCTTCTTCTCAATCACGCCGTCAATGTTGGCGAACCGCAGGAGTAGCAAGCTCGAGGCGCCAGCAAAGGCAAAGCCGATGCCCATACCCATCCAAAGCCCTTGGAGGCCATAAGCGTTCGTGAACGCGAGTAGATAGGCCACCGGAAGGCCAATGCCCATGTAAGCGACACAGTTGATGACGGCGCCGTAATTCTGGAGCCCGTAGCCTCGCAATACGCCTTGCATGGTCTGGTTGACGCCTTGGGGTACTTGGAAGAGCACGAGCACGACCGCGACGCTCGCGACCAAGCTACAACTCTGCGTCAGCACCATCTTGAGGTATTCGAACGTACGCAGACACGTCACGATCGTTTGTAAAGAGGTTTGGGATCACCCAGCGCGTCGCAAGCAAAAGCGATGCAAAGCAAAGAGCCAGCACTGCGGCGGTCGCGAGGGCAGCACTCGTGGCAGCGCGCGCTCGCGGAACGTCGTCACCGCCAATCGCGTTGCCGACGCGCACCGTCGCCGAGACGTTGAGTCCGTAGTAGATCCAGTCGACGACGGAAAAGATGTTGACGGTCACGGCGTTGGCGCCAATCGCGACCACGGCATTGGGTAGCACCCCTAAGCTCTCGTACTGGGACCTGGGAGAACGCGCGCCTGTACCTGCAAAGAGGGCGAGGATCTCAAAGCTGCACCACTCGAACATCATCATGAGCATGCCTGGCGTGCCCACGACGAGAAACTCGCCAACGCCGCGTACGGCAGCGCGGCCATGGAGCCTAGTACACGATGTTTCATTGCTTGATGGAGTAGGGACTCTACCCTGGCCAAAAATCGCATGCGCCGGGTGTCACATGAAAGTACGGGAGCAAGCTGAGCGGCAGCGACATCATGGCGCTCGCGCGGCCGATGGCGGCGCCGAGGTATCCCACCGATGTATGGTACACCAAGAGGTAGCCGACAACCGCGTTGACGGCATTGGCGAGCAGCGTGCTGTAGAGCATCGGCCAGGCAATGTTTTGCGCTTGCAGTGCGCGCTTGAGGAGCTCGTAGGCGTACAAAAAGGGAAGGCCGAAGACAAGGCACGTCGAGTATGGGCCTGCGAGCGCGGCCACATTTGTCTAACCAAGTACTTAGCGCAATAAGAAAATGAAGGCGTACGGGCTGGTCGAGGGCGAGAAGCACGTGAGTGGAGCTGAGGTTGAGCACGGCAATGGGTACGCAGACAATAAAGAGCACGAGGCTACCAGTTTGCAGCAGGATGCCGATGCGCTTGACGTTGCCCGCGCCAAAAGCTTGGGACGCCAGCGTGTCCATGGCGCTCGCAAGTCCGAGGCCGATGCTGTACCTGGCGAGCAGGATGAGAACGGGGGTGCATCGGACAGAAAAAGCGACGCACCCCGTGACGTTGAAGAACATGTCGCTGAGCGAGGCGGCCGCGAGGTACTCTTTGGCGTCCGGGTGGTTGATGTGACCGACAAAGATGAGACTCAGCACACCTGGAAGGTACCCGAGGATGAACGTTGCCATCTATGCAAGGGTCGATGTGCTTTGGATGGAGCTCTGTACATCACGTACGACGGGCACCGCCAAGCGCAGGAGCTGCGTCGCTTCCTCGCGCCACAGCGGTCGAGATGTCTCGGGCGGCGCTTGGTCCATTGAATTCGAATAGGAAAATGCGCCAGTGCATCGCGCCCGTCACGTGAGTGGCCAGTGCGAATCTCATCCATGCTCACGCCATTTCCGAGCCTCGTCCAACTCTGCCCAGTTCCTACCCTGCTTGATATAGCTCGTGTTGCCGCAAGAACGCAGCCTCTCGATTCAAGGTGTATGACCGAGGCCTATTGAATGCAGTGCGTGAGCATCTGTACAGTGCTGGTATGCCTTCAGTGCATCTTGGATGAACGGTGCTGCCGCTGTCGCATGGTTGAATTGCTTCCGCCGAATGCTAGCATATACGCATACACGTACGTACATATTGCACTAGAGTTGCCTGAAAGATGCAATATTGCGCGGTTGCAAGCAGTCCCAACTCGGTAGAAGCGCTCGGTAGATACCATCGGGCAACGGTGGCTCCCGTCGCACTCGAATGATAGGGTCCCGCCAACTGCAACTACCTGCTCGAATCCAAACGCAGTAATCGAAAAGACAATAAGTTATGAGCGCGCCGTCTTGGCAACCGCGACCGCTTTGTCGCTAATGCGGTCGATGCTCGCGCACTTGAGAAGCCCGAGTCCGATCGTGGCGGCTGTCAGAAAGGCAAACACCATGCCGATCCAGAGGCCCGGGAGATCGAGCTGCCACGGAAAGGCCAGTGCATACCCAAGCGGTAGGCCCACGATGAGGTACGCGACAAAGTTGATGGCGGCGCCTTTTCCCTGAAGCCCGCACCCGCGCAAGATACCCTGTGTTGTCTGGTTGATGGCTTGGGGCAGCTGAAAGGCGACGACGACAAGACCCACTTCGGACGCCAACCTATGCAAAATGATACAACACGATTTCCTCAGGACGCTACGTACGAGGCAATCGCGCTATCTCGGGTAAAGACGCGTGGGTACGTATGCCGTGCGAAGTACAAGAGACCCATGAGCAGCGTTGCAAAGCAGGCGGCGGCGACCAGTACAGCTTTGAGCGCGATTTTGGCGCGCATTGGGTCGTTGGAGCCAATGGCGTTGCCGACGCGCACAGTCGCCGAGACGGCAATGCCGTAGTAGAGCCAGTCCAAGACGGCATATACGTTGATTGTGATGGCGTTGGCACCGATGGACACGATCGGGTTGGGCAAGAGACCTACACATAATTGCGTTGGCCAGCTAGCGCTAATCCACGGCATCGCACCGGAGAGAATCGCAATGAACTCGAAGCTGCACCACTCGAACATCATCATGAGCATGCCAGGCGCGCCGTAGACGAGGAATTCGCCGACGCCGGCGGCCGCGCACCGCCAGTTCCACCTACACCCGTGAGATTGTTCAATTGAGCTGCGAATTGCAAAACGTGGGCGTACCCCGGCCAGAAGGCCCGCGCGTTTGGATGCCACCAATAGTAAACACCGAGGCACAGCGGCTGCGCAATGTTGGCAGCCGACCGACCGATCGCCGCGCCGAGAAAACCGTAAGCCGAGTGGTGCACGAGTACGTAGCCGACGACAGCGTTGACGGCATTGCCCACGAGCGTGGAATAGACCATGGGGAGCGCCACGTTTTGTGCTTGGAGCGTCTTCTTCAAAAGCTCGTAGATAAAGGCGAATGGCAAGCCGAGGACGAGCCAGCGGGCATACGCGCCGGCAAGGACCGCGACGCCTTCCTACGACGCGCGTTACGTTGGCCAATCCAATGTCATCCACGGTACTGGCTGATGCAGCGCAAGAAGAAGATCCGTTGCGAAGAGGTGGAGGAGCAAGATCGGGAAGAAGAGGACACTGAGCACGAGAAGACCCGACTGCAAGACGACGCCGATGCGCAGAAGGTTGCCAGCACCGTACGCTTGCGAGCAGAGCGTGTCCATAGCGCTGGCCAAGCCGAGACCGATGCTGTACCTACATCCATTGCGCGTTTTCTGAGCAAACGAATCGAGAGCGCTCGAGTCCTCGTCGTCGTACCCCGTCACGTTGAAGTACATGTCGGCAAGCGACGCGGCGCCGAGGACGAGCTGGACGTCGGCAGCATCGCTGTGGCCAACGATGATCAAACTCACGACGCCAGGGAGAAAGCCCAAGACGTATGTGAGCATCTACGGCGCCGGCGCATGAGCACAGATCCCATGATGCGATGGAGTTGGACGTACGACAGGCGGTGCCAAGTAGCACAGGTGCTGCATCTCGTCCCAAAAGACATTGTCTGCCTCGGGTGTTGCAAGCTCAATGGCGACGGCCGCTTCGCACGGGCTGTGATCGCCGACCTGGCCGTACCGAGGCGACCCGCGCTGGAGGCTTGGAAGCACCATTCCTTTGAAATTGCAAGTGACATGCCAAACTAATGGCCGCCACCCACGCCAGCCGCTTGCAACAAGCCAATGCTGCGCGCCGCTGTACGTGGCGCAGAGTGGTGTCGCGCCATGTGGTACCAGCAGCCGGCAACGCGTCCACCACAAGCTTTGGCGCCAAATCTAAAAATAGAAAAACGCAAAGTGCAATTTCAACGAAACTCAATAACAACTCACTTAAAACGCAACGAAACTAGAGAAAGCAAAGACAATTGGACCCATGGATGGACCCTCGGACGCGCAAAAAACAATGGAAGAAAGTGGACGAGGGGTGCATGTGGCGGCACCTTAGAACGAACGGCGGCGGCCTAGTGCAGAGAACCACGTCCGTACAGTATACATGTAGACAAATCTGGTATATGTACCGGGCGACATGCAGCAGCGCAGCTTGAGTTTCTTGCACTGTTTCTTGAGCAGTGCGACAGTGCGCGTCTACATAACCACGGGTCGTTTCCTTCCTGCGACCATAGGAGCAATGGTGTACCGGCATGTAGATCTCGATAATGTCGACCCAGCGCACACCTGGAGTCAAGACGAGCTGCTGGAGCATCGCAGACTCATCGCCCGTAAACTCGCTACGAGGATCAGTTGCCTTCCATATCACCATAAGCAATCGCGTACCCCCAGTTGATGTCTGGACGCAAGTAGCCAACCCAGCGATCGCGGCACTTTTTCGGACTAGTTGCACGACATTTGCAGCAGTGAGTGTATGTATGCTCGTTGATACCGACTATACCTGCGAGGCGGCAGGAGAGGGCACGCCGCCGCCACGTTGTCCGCGACCACCTTCCAGTTGCTCCCGAAAAGCGCAACCGCCATTGTCAAGGCTTCGCTTTCTTCCGCATGCCACTGGCCTTTGCCGGAGCTACAAGCGGCTAGCTGCAAAATGGGTCGAGTAGCATCGTACGAGAGTCCGAGCCAGCGCTGGTAGCATTGGCTGGGGGACCGATTTGCAACGCCCCGGGCAATCGACTAGAGAAGAGGTGAGGATTGCGAAGAGACTTGTTTGGTGAACCGTCCAGTGGCCCGGCCCAAAGGCGACGACGCAGATAGTGAGATCGGCATCCTGCGCCAATTGATAAGGGCCTCTGGGTCACAGCGTCGCTTCATACTTCATGCTTCGACCACGTGTTCCTTGGCCTGGGGGATCGTGGCGAGCTCATGCGTTGGACGCTAAATGCAAAATGATGCTTGGGTGTTAGCTTGACTTGAATGCCAACGAGTAGTATATGCCGTGAAGAACGTTCGAAATCACATGCCGTCGAATGATTCCAGTTGCCCTCAACTGTTACCGTCGAATTGTAGGGTTGAAATCGCTTCATTTGGCTCGACAGCGGCCAATGACGAGCTTGCTGTGTGAAAAATGGCCCTATCAGCGCCTCGAACAAAACAATTATCACCGACTTGCCTTTCGAACTGCAACGTTGTCGTGCTCTGGCGCAAGCCAAAAGATACCATAACATGGATGGCCACGAACTGCATGAAGACTGATCTATAGTAGGGTTGGTACAACCGCTTGACGTCAACAGTCGATTGTTCAGAACTTTGCTGCAAATTTTTATAATCACAATCTCACGCGGTGCCTGCGACGCAGTTGCCCCCATCGCGGACGGCAAAAATCATAGTGTTCGTAGCGAAAACAATCTCGCGATGGGGTACTCGTGCAGAGTATGATGGCCTCTATGGCGCCAAAGGACAGGAGGGTTGTGCACGAAGAATCTGTGCTTCGAGTCTCCAGCCATAAAATCATGTTATGGCCCTCGTATTTTGCGTGCAATTACATGCAGGATGTGAAGAAATCACTACGCCTTATATGCGTGCTACATACCCAATACGTTTTTATTGGCATAGTATCCGCTACCGTGTGGAATTACTTGGCTGGGAGTGCTCATGCCTGATGACGTGGCACCACCAGCAGTGACATCAAGTATCAAGGTATCAGTTCCACGCGCCAGGCGGTATTTGTAAAATCGAGCAGCAACTGCGCCCAGATTGCAGGAGAGGTCTTGATACAATGTGGCCAGGAGTATAAGACACAATCGACCCGAGTGCGCTGCAGGACGCACTTGAAGCCTGTCGCCAAGAGATATTTTGCTGCTTCCGATGTGAGGCTGGGATTTTTATTCTCCACCGACGCATTTCCATATCGGGGTACTAGTACGTCGGAAGCTCGCAGTAGTATCATGTTTGCTACAATGTACTGTGGTCACGGGCTTGAGCGACAGGGCCTCATATCACTACTACGGCTCCCTCCAATGCACGGTCCATTGTCGACCAGATCGGCGCGGCCAAATGAAACCATGCCATATGCTGCTGCATCGTAGGAGGGTAGGAGGACATGGTAGGATTTCTTGCCCGCGCTTGCGTTGCGAAGAGATCGCCACCGACCATACGAGCCGCCATGCACAGCACATACAGGTGTCAGAGTTGTCTTGTTGTCTTGTTCACGGTGCGCATGTCTGTGTTCGCAGGTGCTGGCTGCGCGGTTCGAAAGCCGGTGGGCTTTGGACTCGGTTATCGATGTCGTCGACACAACGTCGTGTGCATCGTTCACGACGTGCGATCGAACGTCCAGGCGTCGCGCTTGTTGCTAGCCAAGGTGCAAACGAGTTGGATTATGTACCTTGCCCAGTACTGCGTTGGGCTGGCCTATGCCTGTTCCTTCTAGAACCTCTATTCCAATTCTCTACCGACACGTTGGAGCTCCAAATGCAGTACTTGTACGATGTTGGAGGAGACGAAGATTCTAGAACTGGGGTCTTACGATGCACGTCAAATTTCATTCACATAGTTAAAAAAGGCCACAAAACACATAAATCCAGAAATTCATACATATTGCTCGAGCCCAAGCTCACTTGAACTCGACAAAGTCGCCGTCGAGGAACTGCATGTGGAACCAGTCGTCGTCCAAGAACGACGGTGTGTGGTGGGTCGACTCGCGCTGGGGACGACCTATTGCGCAACTCTCAGATCGATGAGTGCTGCAGGATTCACACATACCCGGTGACATGAGGCGGTCCCAGCGAAGCTTTCGACACTCCTCCTTGATAAGCCGCGCCGGACGACCCTGGTCCACCGCATCAGCTTTGTAGCTATAGAAGATGCACACGTACGGGCAAATGGCGCGCGAGACTGGCCCAACTCTTTGAAATCGGAAGCAACTCGGCAATCTTGGCGATTTCCTCGGGTGCAAACGGTCTAAACCACCAGTGAGCTGGTATACGAGGCGAAAATCTCAGGCGTGCGTACGCTGTGCGGATGTCGGGGCTTAGGTAGTTGCACCACCGGTCGCGGCATGCCTTGGCACTGGGCTCGAAATGGGAAATTGGTGTTTCAAGCATGCAGCCGTACCTGCGGTGGCACGACGGGAGGTAGGCTTCCATCCACTGGGCGACTTCGTCCCAGTTCTCGCACGACGTTGATGGCCACATGATGAGGTAGAGCATGTCGTCTTCGACGCGCTTCCAGTGCCCTTGGGGGCGACCTTGGCTACACGACGCGCTTGAGACCCTTCGCGTGGAGGCGGGATGGCTACCTGAGGCTCCGCGTCCAGCGCTGCTGGCACTGCTGTCGCGAGCGCGTTTTCATCGCACGCGCCACGTCCTAGTCGACGCCGCCATGAGGATCTTGAGATCTCACGTCGGAGGATCGCGCACCATCCACGACACGGGCGCGCCTTGGTAACGCTCAATGAGTTGTCGCAAGAGCTCATCCTACGACCGCAACGTTGGAGACCGAGTGCGCTGGTGCGCCTCGTACGCACCTCTTCGGTGGTCCAGCGGCCAGTCGAGTACATTGTCTTGGTTGTGGGCAATTCAGAAATGAACATTTGGCGTCGCAGCGCCGTACAGCAAGATGCTCCCATACCTAGTATCTTGGCGAATTCGTGCATATGGCAGCGCCATGGTAGGATTTCCATGCTTTCTTCGCCGGGTAATCTCGTCCCTATCACGCTCTTTGGTCGCAATCACATGCCTCGGTTCCGCATGGAGCCCGTCGTGCAACCACTTCGATCTGCCACGCGCTAGAGCTACACACTCAACGGCAGCGTTGCCTCACACGTGCGCGTCCTGCAAGGTGAATGGACTCACGTGTCCACTGACGGCCAGCCTTGTCACGTGACGGACTCATCGCTCTCAGCCTCTATGAGCCACACGTCGTCCGTCACCCTTCTCGAAGGCAACGTGTCTCAGATTCTCATCATTGATAACATTCTAGTTAAACTGGAACGGTGCACCTTCATTATGCGCTGACACTTGGAGAATCGACGTGCGATAGAGTGAGAATACACCAGCGCGAAGAGGGCAAAGCAAGCCAGATACATTGGTTGAGCCTGGAAAGCATGTGCTCGAGCTTTGAAGTGAGAGGTCGAGCTCTCAAATTGTAGGTCCAACGACGGCCAGACTGACCGAGATTCTCCAATTTTAATGTAAAAGGGTGCAGGGGAGATTGCGTGAGTAGTACCTTCATCTATGGGCATGGGCGAGAACGGTGCGCTAGGTTCAGGCAGCCCAAAATGCACCAGCACAGCAGTGCAGGTGCGAAATTCGAGCGCGGGATCGCTGGCACAGCATGGGATTCCGGGGTGCGTCGTTGATTTCGCAAATATTTGCGTGATATGGGCACGACCCGCGACGCTGTAGGATGGTGAGTCAACAAGCAGCTCCGTAAGCTTTGCGCCCACATCTAATCCCAGTGTACAACACTAGTCAAAACGTTGCACTCGAGCGTTCGCTTTCTCTCTGAGTGCGCAGTGACGGGCCGCGAATTCATGTCATCCGTAGCCTTGCAAGCATCTGTGTCGCCTTGATCTGATACATTTCGTGTCACCTTGCGCAGTAAGTTGTCTGTAGTGAGGAGTATCTTGTCGAAGTCGTCGGAAAATGCGGTTTAGTGCCGCACGGGTGGGATCGAACCCCCGCCCTCCTCTGCAGGCAAGTGGCAAACACGATCGAAAGCACCATTTCTTTCACATACAAATCCCAAGTCTTCTATTGTGCAAAATAAATGGGGTACCTACATTCCGCGCATACACTCCGGGAACGCAGAACGGCAGCCGCAGTTTCCAGCCCCCTCCCGCCGCCCGAGCCGACTGCAGGATGGCCATGTACAACACCAACGTCGTCGCCCTTGAGCGCATCATGGGATCACTTCGCTCCTACACGGTACTCGATGCTTGCGCCCCAAGAAAACCTCTGACGGCGCACCGCTAGGACGCGACGCGGGTCCGCCAGGACGTCGAGACGCTCCTCCGCCAAATCCCGTCCCTCGCCCCGCAGAGTGGCGTCTACACGCACAACAATGGCACAACGAGGTAGCGTATGCGAGCGCAGATGGGCCCTTGGCCTACATGTTTGCTCTAGCACCATGCTAAGCCTCTCGGGCACGATCCCGATCTACTACAATGGCAACCAGTACAACATCCCCGTTGAGATTTGGATGCCGGAAGCGTACCCGTTCGCCGCGCCGACGTGCTACGTGCGCCCAACAGCCGATATGATGGTAGGCGAGTGAAGTGCGTTGTCGACCGCTGACCATGCGTAGATTCGGCCGGGCCACCCGCACGTGGACCAGAACGGTCTGATTTTGCTGCCGTACTCGACGCACTGGGACAGCGACCATAGCCTCGTGGAGCTCATTGGGTGCGATACGATTGCGCAAGCTCTACTAGCACTGATGGCGTCCATGTAGGTACCAGTGCTCGGTGTTTGGGACGCAGCCGCCCGTCTACAAGCGCCCGGCCAACCAGCCTGCGCCGCAGCCAACGTACACGCCTTCGTACACCAACCCGTACGAGCAGTCCATGTCGTCGTCGTCGGCCCAGTACCCGTACCAGCAGCAGCAGCCGGCCCAGTACACGAGCCCGAGCTTCAACCAAGTTTACTTTTTTGCTTTGTGGCATCATTTCTGAATCGTTTTAGCCCTCGTACGCTGCGTACTCGTCGCCGATGCCGGCGCCGGACCCGTCGATCAAGCTCAAGGCGGAAGCGACCGAGAAGCTGCAGCATGAAATGCAAAAACTCTACAAGCGCATTCGAGGTTCGGTCCATGTTTGCTGTGATCGTAGACGCCTCACGACGACTTAGAGGAAATCGACACGCAGTTTGAAACGCAGCGCGACGTTGCGCACGGCCAAGACGTCTTGGTGCAAGGCGAACAGTCGCTTCAGCAGCTCAAGCACGAGCTCGACCAAACCCTCGTGCACATCCAGGACACGGACGTCCAAGTCACCAAGTGGCTCTCCGAGCAGGAAAATCAAGTCGGTGCATGGCTCTGGAAATCCTAGCACACACTCAAACTCCGATTGTGTAGCAAGAGATGGACGTCGATGAAGTGCTCGTGCCGGCCGATGCACTCTCGCAGCAGTACGCTAATCAATACCCTATCCCTCCGAGTACTATGGACTGGTACAGGCAACTGGACGCGTACGCCGACCAACAAGCAATCGAAGACGCACTCTACTTTATGGACCGCGCGCTTGCCAACGGCGAGATCGAGCTCAGTGTCTTCTTGAAGGTCGACCTTTCGCTAGTGTTGTCTCGAGCTCATGGCACGTAGGAAGTGCGCAAGATGGCGCGCAAGCAGTTCATGTGTGTCGCGCTCATGCAAAAGGTGCACGACACGCAGCACGCGATCGCCGCGGGTCGCCGTTAGTCGCAGCAGTTAGTGATAACACACTCCAAGAGTATTGTCCTGCGACGCGCGGTGGACAAGCGATTATGGGGTTGGCGGCGTGCCATCATAGTGTTGAGTGATGGTCTTCTGGCTCGAATGGACATGCATTCCTGTGATCACGAACGCCAGCGGCGTATCCGGAACGTTCTTTGCTGCTACGCCAACAAATTGATTCATTTTACTTTTACTCACTTTCTCATTTGCTCATGGCAACACAAGTCCAGTGCATGATGCCGACAATGGCGACGACGACGCTTCCGAGCACGCCGAGCGCGACCGAGCTGCAAGCCATCGTCCAGCGCATCACCAACCTCTCAAGCGAAGCGCTGCTGGGGCTCCTCCAGATCATTGCGCAGTGCGAGCCGTCGTGGCAGCTGTGGCAAATGGACTTTGTCGACGAAATTCAGCTCGACTTGGAGGCGATGCAGCCATTGACGCTGCAAGCGATCGCCATGTACCTCGAAACGCTCTCGTACGTCGCCTAGATGGCGTCGACTTATTTATAAAATTTGAAATTAAACTCGTACTAGTACACTACACAGAGAGCATAGTTCGCGCTATGAATAGCGCGCCAACTTCAACGACAATGGCGTTGAACGCAAATAGCGGCGAAATGGCGGTCCGCCTCAACCGCCTTTTGCAAAGCACGAGGGCGACGTGGGACACAAACCAACTTTGCTAGCATGGCCGTCACGCGCGCGGGCTCGGTCGTGGACCTTAGCCAAACGATCGAGTTCTTACCCGGGAAGCTCTACTACGTGGCCGTCGCGTCGCAGCCCAAGGCCAAGGACAACACGATCTTCTTCTCGATCGACACGCAGCTCGTGTATTGGAACTACTGCCTCGACTTTGGCCCGCTCAACATTGGCCACGTCTTCCGCTTCAACGACATCATCGCCGAGCACTTGGCGCACGCCGCGAAAACCAACGCCAAGGTCGTCTTTTACTCGAGCACGAATGGCCAGCGCCGAGCGAATGCCGTCTGCATTCTTTGCTGCTGGGCCATGCTCTTCCAGAAGCTCGACGCGGCTACAGCGTATGCGCCGTTTGAGCGCCAGACCTTCCCGCCCTTCCATGACGCAACCGATTTCGAGTGCTCGTACGACCTCAGCGTCAAGAACGTGCTCGACGGCCTCGAGCGCGGCATGAAGAGCAACTACATTGATGTGTCGACCTTTGACGTCGACGAGTACCAGCACTATGAGAAGGTTGAGAACGGCGACTTGAGCTGGGTCTCGCGCAAATTTATCGCGTTTGCGGGCCCGCACAACAAGTACTCGAACAAGAACGGCCAGATCACGCTGCCGCCGGAGCACTACATTCCGTATTTCAAGCAGAAGAACGTGACGCTGGTCGTGCGCCTCAACGACAAGTGCTACGACAAGAGCCGGTTCGTCGCGGCGGGGATCGACCACCTCGACCTGTACTATCCCGACGGCACGAACGCCCCCATGTCGATCATCAAGCAGTTCATTGAGGCCTCCGAAAAGACGCCGGGCGCGGTCGCGGTTCACTGCAAGGCCGGACTGGGCCGCACCGGCACGTGCATTGGCTGCTACATGATGAAGCACGAGCAGTTTACGGCGCGCGAGGTCATTGGCTGGTTGCGCCTCTGTCGCCCCGGCAGCGTCATTGGCCCGCAGCAAGATTTCATGGAAGAGATCCAGGACATTATGCGCAACGCCATCAACTCGGCAATTCCGTCCGACGAAACCGAGGAGTCGACTTCGATCCCGAAAGGCGGTGCGGCGTCACCCGGCCGGTTCCGCAGCGAAGGCAGCAGCATCCTCACGAGCCTCGGCGACATGCGGAAAGCGGGCATCAAGGTGCTCATGCCCGGGAAAGGACTAAGCCTCGGCCGCCCGGCGCCCAACAAGAAGACGACCATCAACCCGCAAGGTGACTACCTCATTGCGCAGAAGCAATCCAACAGCCCGCCGCAGTCGCCGGCGCGATCGCCGCCCAAGTCGCCGCTGCGCCCGAGATAAGCTAGAGTCAAGAGCATTCTATAGATTTAGATATCCTACCTAACTCCCTTGATGAATCCTCCATTATTGAATCAACGGTGCGCCATGCCACGCGCGTAACCGGGACAGTGTATTTGACGGTATTTGAAACAAAATGTAAATTCTGTATTATGGACATTTGAAACTTGTATCCACATAGAAAACGCAAGTCACGATCTTGACAGTGGAAGAGTTACCGGGATCGCGCGATATCGCAACCGGCCGGCGCGGACGACCCCCTTCATGCAGCTCACCCAGCTCCACGTGACCAACTTCAAGAGCTTCCGCGGAAGCCACGCGATGGCCTTCTCCCCCGGTGTCAACTGCATCACGGGGCCGAACGGAGCAGGTCGGGACGAGCGCAACGAGGGGCGCCTCGACCATGCTCCATGATGTAGGCAAGTCGAACCTCCTCGAGGCCATCTGCTTCGCGATGGGCAGCAGCGTCCTCGCCACGTTTCGCGTGAAGCAGTGGAAGGACCTCCTCAACTGCGCCGAGAAGGAAGCTAGCATCAAGCTGACGCTCACGACTGCAAGTACGTCGTCTCGTCCGCAAGGATACGAGGAAGTCATGGGACTAGGCCAGGGAGAAGCCTCGGTCGGCGTGACACTCGCTCCGTCGGGGCATCGCGTCTACTACGTCAACAACCGCGCCAAGGCCAAAAAAGGTACATTGGCAGTGGTGGCGACGGGCCATGATAGACGCTGGGTGTAGAGTTGAAGCGCTTCCTTCGCGCTTCCTGTGGCATCAACATGGACGTCTCCCTGTGGTACATGCATGCTCACTGCTTCAAGTAGCTCACGACCTGGTACGACGAGCAGGCTCATCCAGCAAAACCTCGTGCACAAGATGGTATTCCCAGCAGCATCCCTCACATGTATGAACCGAGTTGTAGGCCTTGAAGAAGGAAGACGAACTTGCCTCGTACCTCTGTGAGGTCTGCTTCGCTCTGCAATGTATCGATGTGTCGTCAAAGCGCTGTAGGCAGCAGGCACCAAGTACTTTCTCGAGTGTCGTCAAGACGCCAGCCTCGCGATCGCCAAGTTCAAGCCGACGCTCGCTGCAATCCAATCAAGCATTGCCCACTTGGTAGGCACAACGACTACATTGGATGGCAGTATACCCGTCGTGGTTCTAGGAAGCAACGCTGCAGCACCAAACTGCCGCGTTTACGCGCAAGGTGGACCTTCAAAAGGTATACGTACCCCTCCCGAGAGCGCAGTTCTTCACGTGCTTGCAGCTCACACATGCAATCGCGCTGCAAGAAGCGTCGCTCCAGCGGCTTCAAACCGAGAAGCGCCAGGCCCGTACAGCAAGACGTGGGTGGTGGTATCGGGTTGTCATTTATCTCTAGTGGAAGCCGAGGCGGCGCGAGCGCTGGCCACCATCACCGACCACATTGAAACGTGCCAAGCAGCGCTGGATGATTTGCATGGCCAACAGCATGCAATGCAAGACGAGCTCACTCGACTCGTCAAGAAAACGCCACCGAAGTCCCTCGACGTGATTGAGAATGCGATGGAGCGGTGCTCGTCAACCATCGAAGAGGTCAAGTATGTCCTTGCGGCAGCAACAGCCCAAGAAACGACGCTGCAAACCCAACTTGAAGCCATGCGTCAAGATCACGATGTGGCGCGCCTCGAGCGGGATGCAAGCCGAGACTCCATGGACACGCAGGAACAGGTACATGACTCTTATTGTCGGATGTTTAGTTGAAGGTTTTTGCACAGATCATTGCCAAACTGACATTCGAGCGGCGAGCACTTGCCTGGTACTCGAAGCTCGTGAAAGACGCGCAGCCTTGGACAGCTCCGTATGTGGTCCATACACTTCATCCTCTGAAATCTGAGCATGACATAGCGATACAACGAGTTGCATTCGCAAGTCGCTTGAAGCAAAAATGGCGGACGCCAGTGACGTGCCGCTAGCATCGGGCTCTGCAAATCGTCTCGCAGAGAACGTGAGTGCAATTGAGTGGTGCGTGTGGGTTCATTTCGCAAACATTTCTCACGTAGGGGGTTGCTATGGAGACGATGCGCGCAGAGCTCGCTCAGCTTGAGACGGAAATGGATGACCTGCGTCAAAAGGCCGCACACGCAGACCGCGCGGCGCTGAAACGTGCTCCTACAAGCACTATTCCAAACGATATGGACCGTCTTCGACGAGAGCTGCAGCAGCAGCAACAAACGTACGCTGACCATGAGATGCGCCACTTCCCAGGCCTTCACGCGCAGCCACCGCGCCAAGGATCGGGTGCGTCAAGCGTCGGATGCTTTATTCTCAAATTTAAAACTATAGGGGACTACGGGGCCTTGGTGTCGCTCTTTCGACTCCAGCCGCACCTCTCGGCGTGGTGGCCAGCTTTGGGTCTCGTTCTTGATGGACAACTTCTTCACCGCGTATGCGATACGGCAGAGGTATGGATGGCATCGATAGCACACCCGAATATGACGTCATGTATCGGTTTACTAGACGGCAAAAAGCATTCTGAACGCACATCACCGGCGTTGTGGTCTCTTGATCTGGTACATCTGCAAACACAAGCCTTGACGCTAAACTCTGTGACACAAGGCCCCTCGCGCAGCTTCAAGTTCGTCCGCGCGCGTGGGATTCAAAATGGAGCCAGCTCCAGCGCGAGTTTGGGGATCGCATTCTCGATCCTCTCCAGCTCTTCTCGTCAGATTATGATTGTGCGTTGGAGCTTTGGCCTTGCTATCGTCGAGGTAAGCCGTCTATCTCCTGTTGCGTTTCCAGCGCACACACATTAGCCCTTGGGGCGTGGCTCTTCGTGGACTCGGATGCGACTGCCAAGCACATTCTTCAGCGATTTGGCATTCCATGTGTCACCAAGACACTCAACATGCACAGCTCCGGGGTACATTTAGCAAACGGCTCCATCTCACCTGCTATGAGCTGTAGGTGCTGACCGGAGGGAGCAGCCCTGCCCAAGCCCGATCCACGGGTCTTTTGAACGCGGTGCAGCTGCATGCGCTTTCAGATCGCGTGTGCGTCCTGCTCAAAGTCTTGTTTGGAAATCATTTCTTTGTCGTAGGTCGCTCTTGCGTCGTCGGGAGGCCGAGCTGCTTCAACGCCATGACGACCACGAGCAGGCAATGCGACACCGTGACGAGCACGCTCGCATTCAGTACGTTGCCGTCCAGAGTTGTTGGATTGGAATAGCATTCCATCGCGCATCAGGAACACGATTCAGCAACTGGAGCACGAAAAGTCCCTCGTCCAGGCGCGTTGCGCACAGCTTGACGAGGAGCATATCGAACTCAAGGTATGTCATGTTGTGCTACTGGAATTCTTTCGTGATGTGTCCACGACAGCGAGACGCAAAAGCAGCCGTTCACCATCAGCTCCAGCGCAGAGTCTTTGTGGACCTCGGCACGAGTCGCACAGCCTTTTGCAAAACGACGACGCCCGACTGGCACCAAGAACTCGCTCGTGTGCTCGCGTAGGTTGTGTGTCGTGTGATGGGACTTGATACTTCTCTAGCTCCCTTCAAGCGAAAAACGACCAACTGCACGCTTTGGAGCACGAACGACGCTTCCAACAAGCCAAGCTTCGCGCAGCAGGCGAGCGCTGTGAGACACTTGCAGAGGAAGTTGCGGATCTGGAGCAAGCGCTTCACGACGCCAAGGTTATCTCGTTTCCAGATAGCTGACAGCATTGACCAAGTACGACTAGTCGTACGTGCTTCAGCACCAAGACAAGCTCGGTACGCTGGAGCAAGAGCGCGCCGACCTTGAAGTGCAGCTTGGTGCGGCCAAAAGCCAGCACGAGGTGTATCGGACCTTGCTGCAAGACAAACGGTATTCGGCTCGTCAAAGGATATACATATTCATCAGAACAACCCAAGTCAACTGGACATGCGGGTGGCTCTCGAAGAAGAAGAGCTGCTCCAATGGAACGAAAAAAAGGCGGCGCTGGTTGCTACTTCTCTGCCACGACAGCGACCCTCGTCACGCCTACAAGGCACGAGCACGACCGCACGATCCAGCGCCGAGGTACTTGTGTGTGTGAAAAAGAGTGAGCTGCACGATTGCATAGATTCTAGCTGAAATGGAGGCGACGGAGACCGAATTACAGCAACTGCAGGCACGCTCGACGCGGCTGGTGAACGACCGATCTCTGGAGCATCAGCACGTGAACGCCGAAGTGATTGCTCGCAAACAACACAAGCTCGTCGAGTGCCGCGACCACGCGGCCAGCATCGATGTTTCGATTGCCAACCTTGAGACTGGTATCTCGGTGACTTCGGATCTCAGCGCCAAAGTCCAAGAAATCGCCTTTGCAAGTGTCGGCGCAACGTTCGAAGCCATCTTTTCTCGCCTCGTACCGCTGAAAAGCGCCACATTGCAGGCCACCCGAGCGGAGGCCCTCGAGGTATCGACACCCAAACGATGCACCTTTCTTATGCTGGCGTAGTGTGGGCTCTACTTTTCCGTCAATGGATCACGCCAAACGACGCGCGAGCTGTCGGGCGGTCAACTGACACTGCTGGGTACGCCGCTATGTGAAGGTGCAACTTAGTCGTTTGTAGGACTGGCCTATGTGTTTGCGCTTGCACACTACAGCGCATCGCCTCTCTACATTCTCGATGAGATCGACGCGGCATTGGACGAGCACAACCAGGTCTTTCTTTACTGATCCCAACACGCACAACGTACATGCTGCTGGTAGCTTGTCGTTGCCGACTTGATTTGGGCGCACTTTGGCCAGAGCCAAGTTTTTTGCATCTCGCACCACGAGGTACCCACTCTCTACTCGGAGCTCGGTCCTATCACAACGTGTCGTAGAGCGTGCATGCCAAGGTACCTCGGCGGTATTATTTGTGGTGCTGTACGGAGGTCATTTCCAGGCGACAACACTGCTCAAGGTCCGAAAAGACGCTGCGTCGACGTACGTCGAGGTTGTGCGCAAGTAGCAACATGCAACGCAAAATCAAACGAGCGTGGATTCGACGTTGCTTACGCACAGCGCGCCTCGTCCTTCTTGGCGGCGGCAAAGTCGCGCTCAAAAGCATACGGCGGCGACTCGTCGCCGGTCGGGATCTTGGGCTTGCCCGTCATGTAGTCAGCGACCATGTTCTGGAACCGATGGATCGTCTCTTCAAAGCGGAAGGTCATGCGGCCGCCCTTGTAGTTCTTGGCCTTGATGCCGACCTGGACGCGCTCGCAGATCGAGAGGTCTTGGTTGTTGGTCATGTCGTAAAAGTCCCACATCTTCTGGAGCTTGGCCTCGGCATCTACAATACGTCAGTATCATCGACAGAAGAAGCTCGCGCGTACCCGGTGCGTCATAGACGTTGGGGTGCACGAGCAGCTCGGCGTGCTCCGTCGTCGTATTGGGACCTGTCGACATCCGTGAATATAAATATCAAATATCTTCGCTACCCGTGGGCTCAAGCACGACGCAGTAGACGCCGTGCGGCAAGAGAAAATAAAACGCGTTGGGAAAATAGTGGTGGAACCACGCTGTCACTTGGTTGACGCCGGAGAGCCCGGGCATCGGCGGCAGCAGGTCCAAGTCCAGCGGCGTGCCCCCGTTCGTCAACGGCGACGTCACAAACCCAATGTACGAGCCCGTGCCCTGCACCGTGCATCGTAGCAATAAGAATCGAGATCTTAGAGTTGTCGATACCTGGGCGCGATGGTGGTCGTCGACGCGCGACACGTCACAGAGCTCGGGGTGCACGGCCGGAAGGTGGTAGTACTCCATAAAGTTCTCGGCGAGGAGCTTCCAGTTGCATTGCACCGGGATCGTGCTGCTCTTGTACGAGACGAGGTCGCTGAACGGGTACTCGACCAGCGTTTCGTGGAGGTCGCCGAGGTACTCCTTGAGCGGCGGCGCGTCCCCGCTCACGTTGGCATACACAAACGGGCCAAACGTATCGATGCGAACCGGTAAAAGTCCGTAGTCTTTCTTGTTGAAGTTCTTGACGCACTCGGTCGAAAACGCCGCCTTGACCGCCGGCGTCGGCTCCTTCTCGTTACCAAAGTCGACTTCGCTCGAGACGCCGTCGCCCTTGAACATGGGCGTGGCCAAGAGCCGGCCGTCGAGCGCGTACCCCCAGCGATGGTAGGGGCAGCTAATGACCGGGAACCGACCGTTCTTCTCGACGAGCTGCGCGCCGCGGTGGCGACACACGTTATAGAAGCCACGGATTTCGTTGTCCTTGGCGCGCGTGACAATGATCGGCTGGCCCGCGGCCGTGGCCACAATCGTGTCGCCGGGCTGCTTGAGCTTCTACAACCATCGCCCATGTACACTAAGACATGCACAGCGAGGGCAAAAGACGCACCTCGGTGTAGCCAACGATCTGCCATCCCTTGGCGAAGAGGCGCTCGAGCTCCTTCTCATGGTACTCGGCGGATTGGTACGTCTCGGGGTTGATGGTCGTCGCTTCGAGCACGGGCTTTCGCAGCTCGGCAAAGTAGCTTTCCTGCGTGAAGCGCGATGGCGTAATCGACTGGACGTTCTCGAGGTCCAGCGTCGCGCGCTGGCCCGTGTGGCGACCCATGGAGCTCATCGCCGCCCGCTGCGGCCATGCGCGCTTGGCGAGCGCTCGGCGGAACATGGCAAAAAGAAAGTACTGGCGCTTGAGCTTTCGAAGATCTTAAACTTCAAGCACGCTGATTGGTCAGCCGAGTATCTTGATTCCAAATCAGGCACCGTGCACACGTTGCGCCGAATTGTGTCCTGAGATAAGGCCTTCTCCTAATGCAACAAAAATAGTGTGGTTGAAGCAGGTCCAAGGCTTCTCTCGTGGCACCACCATCTAAATCGTCACGTGAAACAGCGTCAATAATACGTTGGTGGAACTAGCCTACATCGTCGTAAAGGAGATATCTATGAGCTCTGAGTCGTAGCACTTCGCTTATGGGTTGGCTCCTGCCGCGGGCTCGCATCGCACACTATTATCGTTTACAGCAAAGAGCACACATCAGTTTGGCCTTTGCTCCTCCAACCTGTGACGTCAGCGAACGCTTGTTCACTGCGGTATCACGTCGCCGTGCGCCATGAACAAGCCTGGCAGCTCCGGCACGTTGCAGGAGCAGCATTCCGAGAAGACGTGATGCGCGTGGGACCGCCTATCGAAATGCTCGCCGAGTGCTAGTAACCGTGTGAAGAAGCTTGTGGCGTCGTGCCACGGTGCAACCGAATTCTGCAGTCCTCGTCCGGCGTTTCAGCGTCCCGCGTGATCCCCGAAACGACGCTCCTCTACACGCACATGATGTCTGGGCAAGGCGGCGTACTGACTGCAGTGGCGGCGCGCGAGAAGATGCATTTGCAACCTCCAATTGGCACGCGGCGCGTGGCGCTCAGCGGCGGCGAAATCGGCATGATCCAAGATTCGCGGTTTTTTCACGCGCCCCGTTACGTCGCCGACTTGGGCTTTGTATGCGTTGCCACGTGTCTCTGACCAAAAAAGATCGAAAATAAAATAAAATAAAATCGAGCCAGCGGCAAGAAGCCGGATCAGACGACACCGGGCGCATTATATTGTATGCTCTTGGAATTTGTATGCGCGTCGGTGCCCATGGGTTTCCCACCGTGTGAAATACACGTCGTCTTGGCTTTTGTATGCTGTAGAAAACCGCGCGGTGCGCAAACACGTGAACCTGTGGCAACGCATACGTCGCCCATCTGTCGACAATATCGAAAATGTCCTCCTATGGGTTTATAGAGGTATCTCACAGTACAACGCAGGCGTCCAATGTATGGAAAGAAAAAATCTATTTGTTTGCAGAGGTCTTGGCGGGCGGCAGGCCGGAGACCTGCATTCTGCCGCGTCGCCGTCGAAAGTGTTTCTCAGTGCTTGAAATTCTCGCGTGACCATCCTGGACGCCATGCTCCTGCTCCAAGCCGTCGACGACATCTCGATTGCCGAGAGCCTCATGGCCTTGACCAAAGCCTCGGAATCGCTCTCGTCCGCAGAGACCGAGTCCAACTCGGACTCGGACGTCGAGCCGCTGCTCGTGTCGCTGCGCCGCGCCAAGCCCGACGCGACGTCGTCGCTCAAGCATCTCACGCGCCTCGCCGACGAAGAGTTCAAGATCCTTAGCAGCCCAACGGGCATTGACGAGTCGTGGTGCATTGACACGATGCGCAAGATGGAGCAAGGCCTGAAACGCATGAAGGTCGAGGAGCTGCACCTGGGCGCGAGTAGCGTCGAGGCCAAGCCGACGCACCACCACCGCCGCAACGGCCAGCTCATCGTGCTCGACAAGGACAGCGAGTGCGATCTGCGGCTGCAAGCGCACCAGCGCGACCGCAAGCTCTCGGTCTCATCATGGTGCTCGAGCGACAGCGACCAAGGCACGAAGCGCATCGGCAGCTACTCGCCCGAAGACCGCGCCGAGCGCATCCAGCGATACCTCGAGAAGCGAAAGCACCGCACGTGGGGACGCAAGATCAACTACGGCGTCCGCAAGAACTTTGCCGACTCGCGCCTCCGTGTGAAAGGCCGCTTTGTCAAGAAGGAAGATGAAGAGCTGCTGTGTCTCTATCTGGGCATGACCTAAGCCGCAACGCCGCGCGTCGTCATGCTGGACGACGGAATCCAAGCCGCCCGCACCGCCACCTCTTCGTACCTCCTTCTCTCGTCGACGCGTCGCCTCCGCCGACCCCGCCCAACGAGCACCACCACCACTAGCAAGACCTAGCAGTAGACCCTTCTGTAGCCGTAGTCGTAGTCCAACCGTAGTAGATTTATCTTCCTGTGTTTTCAATCCAAAGTCTTGGGCTGCGACCTCGCAAGCCTCGTCGACCCGAGGTAAACAGCCAGAAGGTGACGTGGAGACGCGAGAAAGGCTTTGAAACGGTTGCAATCTTGTCGATCATTTTTGAACCACTGCCTCCGCAGCCCGAGTGTACACCTGTTGGTCGATCACCACCCACGTGCATCGTCTGCACTCGCCTAGCTCAACGCCAAGGCGTACGGCGTCTTCGTCTTCCTTGGGTGTTGAGCCGCTAACTGTGCCTGCTTGTCCCAAAGCTAGCGGATTACATCCAAAGATCGCGTTCGAGATTTTGGATCGCGGCTTCCGGATTGGCTTCGAAATTCCGGATGCGGGCCAATCGGCGGCTTCGAAAAAAGCCCAAGATCTCCATAGCGGTCCATTTCCAATTCTGCACTGCGATGCCCAAGAAGGTCCTGACGCCCGAGGAGGCCGAGGCGCGGCGCCTCCGGCGCAACGAGCAGTGCAAGCAGTACCACATCAAGAACCGCGAGCGGCGCCTCGCGTACAAGCGCGAGAACCACGCCAAGAACAAGGCCCACCGCCTCCAAAAGATGAAGGAATGGCGCGAGAAGAACAAGGAGCGCCGGAACGTCTACTTCAAGGAGTGGTGGCGCAAGAACCGCGCTAAGACGTTTGCGCCGAGCGGTACCGACTCGGACGACAGCTCGAGCTCGACCAACCTTCTCATGCTGAGCGAAGTCGCGCTCCAGGTCAAAGTCGAGTCGCCGCTTTCGTCGTCCGACGACGACGTGCGGAGCAAGACCGTGACCAAGCTGACGTGCTACCTCAAGAACGAGACGCTCTACTGCCCATTCGTGTAGACGCGCGCGTAGAAGACGGATGCATAGTTGTCGATCGTAATTTAATCTCTTTTGCTGCGTGCGCTCTTCTCTGCGTCTGCCTCATATGCTATGTGAGACAACGCAAGCGCATATATGCACAGTGTAGCGATCGGCTGAGCTTGGACAAGCGACGGCCGTCGGTAGCTCATGCATGTACCTGTCAACTTCATGCAGCTGCTGGCGACGATCTTGACCGGCCGCGTTTAAAACGACCATCATCATTCTACGATTGCGATCTTCGCACAAGCTTCTTCTTCAACTTGCAACGTCGTGGTTAGCGCGTAGCGAAATCTCCATACTGTCCGGCCATCGGCCAAAATGAAAATGAAAATGAAAATGAAAATGAAAATGAAAATGAAAATGAAAATGAAAACCTCACGGCCGTCGAAATGCTCCACCTTATCGGCAGCATATTTATTCAAAACCAGTGATGCATTGACTAGCAAGGGCGCATACATCCATTTCGTGTCCTTGGTACGAGCCTACAGGGCAGGACACGACGTGCCCTGAACGTCCTTGAGGTAGCCGCCCACGACCGAGGCAGCGACGTCATGCGAGTAGCAGCCCGTGGCGTTGGACGCCGCGAGGTACGCGACATGGTTGCCCGAACCGCCGACGAGCGAGTCCATGTACGCATCGGCTTGCTGGCGAATCGCGACCGTCGCATCCGAGAGGCCGAGGCGGAAGGCCGAGGCGTCGCCGGTCGACGTCGTCGCCTTGATGAACGCGTGATCGATCGTCGTGTTGAGCCGGAACCCGTCGGCGGCGAGAGCTTCTGGGTGGTTATTGCGCCGCACGGCCGGTAAGACCGGGGCGTGCAGCGAAGCACCTTCGGTCGAGTACGTCACGTACGTCGTGTTGCCAGTAAACGGGTACTCCTCTTTCGTGACGCGCTTGAACGCTGGCGCCCCCGATGACGTGATCGTCGTCGTCGTCGTCACGGTCGTACGTTGGTCAAACCACTGCGTCGACGCGTTGTTGGTGTACACTTGGTCGTTGTAAAAGGTGTAAGCGGATTCGACCGAGTACAATTTGGTGCCGCGCGACGTGGTGATGCGAGTCGAAATGGCGTTCTGACGCGTCGCCGTCGTCTTGATCGTCATGTCGAGACCTATCCGAGCACGATATCTCAATCTCAATTTCAAAAAGCGCTGGAAACCATACCGTGGACATCGGCGACGACCTTGGGCACGACCGCGGCCGGAATCATTTGGCTCTGCACGACTGCCTGCGTCTGGTTACCAGCCTTGTCGAGGTACACGAGGAGGTTGCCAGACGTCGGCCAGTAGTCGAGGCCGTGCCCGACGCTAAAGCTCACATTGTGGGCCTTCCCGTCGACAAAAATGCCAAGGAAGGGCGTCAAGTCCACGAGGTACGTCGGTGCTTCAAACGCGCCGGTCGCAACGACCGGGCGCCACATGTACGGCGAGATACCGCCCGTGTAAATGAGCGGGAACGGCCAGAAGGTGCTCACAAGCTTGCCGTCAACGAGCACTTGAAACTCACGGAACGCTCCGTTGCCGCAGTTGGTCTGGAGCGGCTCCTTGTACTCGTTGGGCGGGTTGGTGTAGTAAAACTCGTCGCACCCGTGGTGGCTCGTAAAGACTTCAAGGAAAAGCTGATCGAGGTTGCGCGGAAGCGTAGCGAGGCCGCCGCTGGGTGTCGACGGCTGCACTTGGAACCAGCCGTACGCCCCGTTCTTGTTGGAAATGCTCAGCACACTGTCAGGCTGCAGCGGCGCCGATCGAATGTCGCTGCCGCAGGCGTCCTTGGGCTTGTAAAACTCGGCCGTCACACTCACGGTGAAGCTACTCGTGTACGTCTGGTCGACGACGTTATCAAGAGCAACGACGACGTTGCCGCCCGCCGCCAAGACGTCCTTGTAGTGTGAGACGTCTTTGAGCACCTCCCACGTCGCACCTACATCGTGTGAGCAGGTCGAAAAATATTGCAGCAAAAACACCTGTCTTGCGGCTTGGCTCCTGCGTCGTCGTGCGGAGGAGCTCAAAGCCGTTGGCCCACACGGCAGCGATGCGGTCAAATTGCCGACCGGCAGGCACCGATGCCGACCAGCGCAGATACACGAACGAGTTGGCCGGGTCGGACGCACACGCGGGGATCGGGAACGCGCCTTGGTACGGCTTCCCGTACGAATGGCCAAAGACATAATTGTCCATGAGCACCACCTTGCACGCGGGGGTGTCGTAGTGCACTTGGTTGGTGTTGACGGGCAGCGTCACGTCGATCGACGCAATGTTGTCGGCCGCGAGAGCGACCGCCGCCAAGGTCGCGAGGCGGAACAACATCGTTCACAACGTGGCAAAAGAAAGAGTGAGCCCGTTGGGACCGAACATCCTCGTCTGGTCACTCGTGCGACTCGACAACCTTTCTCTGATTATAAACCCGAAGATCGCAATCTGATTTCCATACGGTACCGTTGTGTGGTGACGAGAGTCGCTCTCACGCTAGGCTCTCACGGACGCAGTAGCGAGGTTCTGCGGAATAGAATGCAACGTCGCAAGCGACAAACAAGACCATGACACTTTTGGCCACAGACACGCTGCCTTGAATATTTCAACTTTACATAGACTATGTTTTAAAATCATGTGGCATGTGTACTTTCTTCGAACATATGGGTCCCCATGGCCTAATGGATAAGGCGTCGCTCTCCGAAGGCGGAGATTGCGGGTTCGAGTCCCGCTGGGGACTATTCATTTTTGTTTTTCTTTGCAACTTCAGAATTCCGAGAAACACAGCACTCGTACTGGAAAGGGTCAATATACTGTTTATTGACCCTTGGTACTTGTAAGCGGGCGGTACCGGTACTGCATGTAGCCTCACACGAAAATCATTGGCATTGTTTACTTTTTTACATTTGGTTGCCTGTACGCTGCCGGTGGCAGGCTCCGGTGGCGGAATCCGAGCAATTCGTTCAGAACGACAGACAATCTTGGCGGCGAGAGCTGGCGGCGAGTCACTGAGAGTCCACTACACTCTCATCAAACGGTACAGTGGTGCGTGGATGCTGCAGGTCTCTTAGACATGTGCTGGCGTTGATCTGAGAATGCTCGTTTGTTTCGGCTCTGGGAAGCTCTGGGATTCAACACAGATGGTCGGGACGCAGACACTGACGCAGACGTGTTGGTACTAGGCAGTAGGTATCTTGAGACCATTTTAGGTGCAATGCAAAGGCATGTCGCCCTACCAGCAGTAGTTGAGCTGTTCGTCTCGGCTGTACACGGCGGTCGGCCGTGCCACCCGATCTCAGACGGGACGCTTCCCGACACAGTACATCACGTTGGACTGGAAGGCGGTGCGTCCAACTGTTCGAGTTGGCTGAGCGTTGCAAAGATCAGCCCACCCACTTGATGTGGTTGATTCGCCCAAATCAGTCGACTACCCTTCGCAGAACGTTATTACGCGGGCACCAAATCAAGCAGAAACTCGGGGAGCGGACGTACTGCATGTACCCAAGGACAATACCAAGGACACTCCCAAACACTGAAAGCAAGCGACCAAGTTGCCTCCACGTCTATCATTGCCAACGCCATACTGCATTTTCGCGTAAAGCGGCCTCCAAGTAATGGCCGCCTCTCGGTTTCCTGCGCCAAGGATTGAGCACTTGACACAGCAAAAGCAACCATCCAAGGGATACATGGTTTCCCGAGCTGCCGGCGACTCGACGTCTCGCGCACCTCGACGTCTGGAGCTATCACACTGTCCATGATGGAGGTCGCAAGTGACCTTTAGAATATTCTTGTCGGAGCGATTTCACAGCAAAACGCGGTGCCAAGCCAAAGAAGTAATGACTTTATCGTGTGGCTAGGAGTGGCTAGGAGGGAGAACATTGCGGGGCGCCTGCAAGTCATCATTAGGGGGTGCATCGTGTGTCTAGGCGCCGCCACATGTATATAAGAACTGGTGGTCATGTAGGGCTTGCTGCAGGTAGGAGCATGACTTGGAAATGACACTTGGCGCGAAAATGCTTCCCGAGATCCAGGTACACGAATGGGCACTGCTACCAAGCACGGGTCCAGTTGGTCATTTGTCTTGGTAAAGCTGAAAGATGCGTGGCAAGACGACATACCACGGTCGCAAACCATCGTCTGTACCCTAGAAGATTGCATTTGAAAGGGGCCACAAACAGCTCGCGTCACCACCAACACCAACGACGAAGGTAGTCTCATCGATCGAGCGACACTGGTGTATTTGGAATCGCCGCGCAAGCCTTCAGCTAATAATATTCACGACCGCCGTCGATGTCCTGCAGCGCAGCCGCAGTCGTCCTACATTCAGTTAACGGCGGCCAGGGGCACAACGGTATGCTACCCAAACAAGACCTACTCTTGCAGTAGACACCGTACCGCCGTGCGATCACGTCGCGACCGAGCGACCATAGCGTATTGGTGTCGAACGAGTAGTATTATTATTCGATGTCTACAAGCCGTCCAAGATCTTAGAGTTGCTTGGGCGACGGCACATCCTTGGCTGTTGAGGCCGCCGCAAACGACGAAACACCGAGCGTGATGACGCCGTTGTAGAGCCAATGTAGCGTAAAGCAAATCAAATATTGCGCCGGCCGGTAATAAATGCCAATGTCCTTGAGGATGGCCGGTGGCGTCTAAATGCATCGGCTCGTCATCGATCGTCGCCGCCAATCAGAGCATACCATGAGCGTTGCCACGTTGATTTCGGTGACGAGCACAACGATCTGCAGGATCGCAGCGTGGTAGAGCGCGATGAATGTGAAGCCAAACATGATCCAGCTCGGGCTGCCAATGTAGTCGAAGCGCCCCGTGTGCTATAAGCAACATGAGCGGTCTGTGAGGCTCATGCAGGCGAGTGCGCAAGCCGTACCCAAAGCACAAAAGGCACGAGCAGCATCATAATGTGCTCATAAAAGTAGTTGAAGCAGTCGCCCTACGCATTGCATAGTGAGCCATCCATCAAAGCTGTCACAAGACGTCCTCGCACCCAGTGTTCGTAGTCGCTCATGTCGGGAAAGCTCAGCGCCAGCACCGACGACCATGACATGGTCACGTACACCTACGCGGCGACATGAGCGTGATCAGGACAGAGCCAGAGTCGCAATACCTGGAACAAGAGATTGGCCGTCTTGCCGCGCGCCACGGTGAGCAGCGTCAAGAGCAGCGTGAGGGTGTGGCACGGCTGAAGCGCGTACGGCAGCCGCCACATGCCCGGCGCTAGCGCCTTGTAGTAGACAATCTATCGTGCATCGTGAGCATAAACACAGGTCATGGCGTGGACGAGCGTACCGCGATATAGGACACGCCGGTGCCCACGCCAAGCGCCAAATCGAGGGGCGTGGCCTTGCGCACGGGCCGCTGCGCCCTCCACATCGGGTGCTGGATCGCGCACTGGTAGCTGTAGATGCTCAGCGGGATGAGGATGCTCATATAGCACACAAACTCGAATGCGTGCTGCCATGGCGAGAGATACCACTTGCTACAAGATGATGCATGTAGCCTCGCGTTCGCCCATGCAGGCGGATGCGTACCTGCGGAACTTGTCAGGTACGAGCTCATTCGATGGCGTGTTGTGCTGCGGTCCGATCTGCGCAAAGATGTCGGCGATCACGTCGACGACCCGCAGGAGCACCATCGAGCTCGCGACTTTCCGAAAATGAACAAGATGCGATTGGATACAAACGCCAAGATCTGGCAACGCGAGGCTTTTTGTCCTAATTAGGCATCTCTCTATTTTTACGCCCGGCTTCTCGCGCCGCGTCATGATCTGAGCACATGGGAATCTCACAGATTCCAAGGCCATCGACCATCGAGATGGCGTCCTGCGAGGAGCCGCATGCTGCGTGCGTCTCGAGTTGCTTCTCTTGGCCAGTGAATATCGAGTGTGGGACGCCAGCGGTGACGCAGCGCCGGCAAAAGCATGACGTCGCACGCCGACCAGCAGTATCTTTTCGTACGATGCAAAGCGGACCAATCGGCGCGCAGGGATCAGTGCACCAACCAATCAGCAATGGTTGCGACAAAGTCGCGGATTGCGCGCAAGATCGCGCCGGTTGAAGTTGGCTACATAGATCAAGTGCTGAGCTGAGCACTGAACTGAGTTGACTATACAACTTGTGCATCAAGAGACTTGATGGTCTGGACCGCAAACTGCAGCTTTCAGGTTCAAAGATGCTCCAGATACGCGGCATGGTTCACATTGCACATCATTCATATTGCACAGCAGCGTCGAGCTCGTTAACCGGTGTGGCGCCGAATCAGACATGAATCTGGTCTTCTTTTCGCGCCCAGAGATACGTCTGGAATTTCGAGGGCTGCCTTTCTTACATGTGAAAGCGCGACAGGATGTACCAGAGCGTGCTACGCGCTTAGATCCATAGGAGGGCTAGTCGCATCCTCGTATTAAGCTTACTATAGTCACTAGCAAACACTTCGCTCCAATCAGCTCCCGTGCTGACCCGGTGAACTAATGATCATTGACCTTAGCAAATGCCACAATGGCATGCTATTGAAAGAGGATGTTTTTAGATCTTGAAACCGTGGGTAGCGCCAGGATGGGCCCGCGGCGCCAGCTCACGAAGGGCGAGCTCTTGACGCGCGAGAGGATTCGACAAGAGACCGTACGTGCGATACGCAACCCTCTCTCTTCACTCTAACCGGTGGCGAGCAGGATGTTCGCGTGACCCAAACCAATGCTATGCAGCATCAACTGCAGCACCTTGTCGACGTTGCAGCACCAAACGACCCGACAATCTTCCGGGGTATTTACAGCGACAAGCAGCCGTCTCTGTCGGCCTCCGAAGTGCGCGAGCTCGCAGCCATTTCAGCACCGCCACTCGGGCCCGTCGATACGACGGGCATGTACCATTTGCGGTCCATCAAACACCCGTACCCTATTCCAGGCTCCCAAGTACGGTGCAACACATTTAAGCGATCTCAAAAGAAAGGCTGGCTAGCTACGCCGAGAGAAGGAGCGCGAGCTGCAGGCGTCGGCTAAGAAGCAGCTCATTTTTCTCCACACGTCGTCGGCGTCCACCAGTCGACTTCCACCAGCCTCGTCAGCGTACGAAGACTGCTTGCACACGCTCGAGGTTCTCTTTCACGCCACATCCATATCAGCCAAAATGTGTGTTTAGCAAGGAAAGCTACACTTCTTGGCGACCAATCTCCTCGGCGTTCTCGACGACAAAGCGTACATCATGTATCAAACCATCGCTCATCCTATCGACAATGGGCGTAGAGCCGCGTTAAAAAAGGACTCGCAAGCGCGGCAACACCGGCTTGCGACTCTTCAAGGCGATATTCAAGCCGTCGAAGCGTTCTGGCGCGCCCTCCTCGAAGGCCGGACACGGTGCGAGAGAAGCTGTCCATGTAGTCGACACTGTAGTCGTGTAGCGAGGCCGTCTTGCTTGTCACGCAGCATGATTTTATCGACGTCAATCTCCCCGTCAACTACGACGCTTTGCGCAAAACCATCTCGATCGAGGCAAAAAAGAGCTTTGAGTATGTAAATGAGCCATACATATCCTGCGCGTTGATACGACTGCGTTAGCGTCGCACTCACGCCACTCATGCTGGCGGCCCGGCTGCACAACGTGCAAGTGGTCACCGCACTCTTGCAGGCCGGCGCCGACCCGCAGCTCGCAACAGCGAATCAAGACACGGCGTTGCACTTTACGTGGCGTGATGTGCCGCCACGTCAGAAGACCTTGCCCTGGGTCACCATTGCCACGCAAGCAACGGCGACGCAAGAGGTGCTTCTCACACACGGCGCCTTGGCGAATCACGCGGTATGAGCCTCGTATTGCTCACGAGGGGTGCCACGACGTTTGTAGAACACGTATGGTGTCACGGCACTGCATGAATGCGCTCGGTTTGGCCTCAAGGACGCTGTCGTCCACCTGCTTCGGGTACCTCCATCATCTGATGTATCATTCTATCGACTTACGGAATATGGAGGCTAGCACGAGGGAGACCCGCATTTACGAGACAAGTGTGGCAAGTCCCCGCTTGACCTCGCGAACGAGCATGGGCACAAGGACGTGTGGAGCTGCCTCGCAACGTTCCACACGATTGCGCGCGTCCGAACCGAGTGCGAAGCGATGCGCGACGCCAAGGCTCGCTTCAAAACGCCTGGCCTCTTGAGCCACGCATGGTCACCTCCACGTAGGCCACACCTCTATGTCTCTTTTGTGGGGCTTGACACAATACGTAGCCGACCAGCTTCTCGCCAACCTGAAGCTCGCGTCGCACCGCGCCAAATACCTCAAGGGCAACTACATCACGCAGGCTGGCGCGCTCATTTTGGCCGACGACCCGCTCGAGACATGGACGATGCGGTCGTCCTCATAACACCCGACAGTTGGCAACACCACAACTCGTTTGTACATATACACGGACAAGAAGCGCACTAGGCGGCACAGCAGCTGTAGAGACTCGAGACAACATGCTCCATCCACGCTTTGAGCTGCGCTGCGTCGGCTTGACCTATATGACACGTTGTGCGATGACCAGAGAACAACGCTTGCGGACGTACACCCGAGCAGCAGCGGGAGGATACCGCCGGCGCCGACCTGCTTGTACCGAATGTACTCGCAGATGCGCGTGTCGTCGCCGTCGGGCGTGACTTCAACCCAGCACATGACGTGCCACTGGAGAACGTCGTGTTGGAAGACGTCACTGAACGGCGTCTCGAGCGTCCGGTAGACGATGACGTGCTTGTCAAAAAAGTCATATCTACACATGATGGACGTCCGTAGTGACAAGTGGTACACGGTTCGATACCGGTGCTGCACCACGTTGAGCGCAAACGGCGCCGTGTCGTCGCAAAAGTAGACGCGCGTGCAGCACGTTGCATGATCCAGCGTTTCAAGCCGCTACGCCATCGCCCATGCAACAGTGAGGTGGCAGGTGCGAGAGAGCGCGAAGATTTACTTGGGCGATGCGCGTGTTGGGCACGTTCTGCGTGCTTTCGCCGGTGAGGCGGCGCCAAATGGCGTCCGCGGTGTCGCTGGGCGAGACGCCTTGGCGCCGCGAGCATCGAATGACATCGACGTGCGCAATGTCAGTCTGTGACGCGTTGAGCGTCACGTGGCATCGGTTCTCCGACTCGGTCGCGCGTTCCTACGAGCTCGTAACTTTGAGTTCGACTCGACATACGCAGAAACGTACCCACATTGAGCGTACATCGCCGTGCACACCCTCGTGCAAATGCGCGTGAAGCATGCGGTAGATGCTCGAGCGCCAATCGTCCTTGGCAAGCGCGAGGTTCTGGACATGAATATGAGCCGATGGCGGGACCTTCGAGATGGACCGACCATGTGGAAGAGCGTGCGCTGGTACGACATGACGAGGTTGATTTGGTGCCGAAGGCTCTCGCGAAGACTCTGGTTGAGGTGCATCGCGGCCGTGTTGTGTTCTCGGAGCTCCTACGATGACGTGAGCAGCCACGAGGATGGCGAGCCACGTGTACTTTGGCCGTCGCGGACCAGCGCGCAATGGCGTCGCGCTCGGTTGGCAGCTCTTTCTTACGCCGACGTTCTTGTTGGCGAAGAAGGAGGCGGTCGCGGTCGCATCCAAGCCGATGCGCGAGCTGCGCAAGGTTCGTCGCTTCGTCCTTGAGCCGCTTGCGGTACTGGACCTTGCGCGCTCGCTCCCGCTGCTTGAACTCTTCGCTGCTCCGAGCACCGCTCGAGACACATGCCGATTCGTCCAAAGCGTCCGGAAAGATCATGAGGTCCAAGAGCGCGCTCTCGTCCAGCATCCATGTGCCCGTCTCCATCGCGAAAATGCACTGCGACTTTGACGCGTTGAAGCATCGAGTCAGCATGTTTAAACAGCATATGCGACGTGATTATACTCCGTTTGACACGGGCATCCTCGCTCTTCGAGACGAAATAGGACGTGGTGCACTTGTCTCTGGGTTTCACTGCGGTCGGGCATGACGCCGTGTGGGCAGGCGCCGTTGCATGCAAGTTCCTTCGCCGCTGCACAAGTTCACGTAGCGTTTAACGTGCCGACGTTGTACATAAACGTGGATTAACCTAGCGCCTATTGACCACCATTTGGCCAATCAGAACGTAGGTTACTGCTCTAAGATTGCCACGATGCATGGCAACCAGTACTCGGGCATGATGACTCAGGGATGCTAGTACAAGTTTTTATATTGGAATTTCAGAGTATGCAGAGACGCCGTGGAGCAGCCTCGAGGACTGGCCTTTACCAGCCCATCTTGGCTCTGCCGTTTTCCATTCGGACGGGAAGCTTTCGCTTGGTCGGGCGGAGCTTGCCCTCTTGGTTGGACTCATAGTCGAGCTTCCGGAGCACCTTGTGCTTCTTGCCCTTTGGCTTGAGGTTGTACATCTCGACGTAATCGACCTCGTCCTCCTCGACCTCGTCTCTCTTCTTCTTCGCTGCCGCCTTTCTCTTGCTCATCTTGCTCACGATCTCACTGTCGTCGACGTCGTCGGCCTTGGCTTTCTTGACGGGCTTTTCCTTCTTGGGAAAGTTGCTCTTGTCGCACAAAAGCGCTTCGATGCTCGCGAGCACAGTCGGGGTCATGGGCACGATGGTCGGCGCCGCCGTCCACTGCTCCGGCGTCCAATCGCCGCAGGTAGCAACCGCAATCGACGAATCAAAGACGACCGTCGTTGTCGCCGCGCTTGTCGTAAAGACGAGCGTCTCGCACTCGAGCGACACCTTGTAGCCCGGGAACGAGCATCGGTCAAAGACAAGCGTGCCCAGGTGCTTGAAGCCCGCCGCCGCAGCCGCCGCGATAAAGTCGGCGCTCTGGCCGAGCGGGCACGAAATGTGGATCTGGCCATTGTTCTCCGTAATGCGCACGTGCTCGAAGAAGACTTCGGCGTCGTCGACGTTGGGGAAGTTCCAAATGACACAGTCAAACGTGCCAAAATCGCCTACGTCCGCCATCGCCGACTCGAAATGGACCTTGTTGTCGAGCTTCTTGACGCGCTTCGAGGTCTCGGGGTACGTCTTGAAGATCGTCGCCTTGGCTTCGGCTAGCATGACATGCAGCGACGCCACATGCGAGCGAATCGACCATGCAAACGAGAGCGACGGGTCCTGCACGACGAGCGTGCTCATGCTCGGCGACAGGAGGACTGGCGACGGGCGGACCTCGAAGGCCGAGCGCGGGCAGAGCTCCGGGCGCTGGTTGGGCTCCATGTCCGGCGTGCCATGGACGAGGATCTTGTAACAGCACGGAACGCACTTCTTGCGCAGCGCGCACTCGAGCGTACTCGTCGGCGTGAAGAGGCTCGCCGTGTTGCGCATGAGATTGCCGTTTGAATCGCAACGATTGGTTCCCACCAACGATTGGCCATGCGAATGCACCAATCAGCGTCCATGTCGGAAGATCGCAACCGCGTGCATCATGCTCTGCGCCTGGATCTGCCCTCAATCAAGGGTATATAAGAAATACATCTCTTATATACCCTTGCCTCAATCTACCCACGTACCAGCATCGTCTTCGCAACCAACCGCTGGATCTTGACGGACGCATCGCGCCGGCCGCGTCCTCCAATATGACTAGTATGGTAATGCTTGCGGCTGCACCGTACTTGTTGATGATCGCATATCGAAGATGGACGGCCGCGGAGGGCTCGGCCGTTGGACCGTGGAATGGCTGTTCACAGGCAACCGCGGCGGCTCGACCAGACACGGCGGGTGTAATTCCCGCGCGTCGTGTGTTCCCACTGGCCCCATCGTGATGCGGGTCGCAAAGAAGGAATGACCTGGGTGTTGCCCATACAAGGTGCCCATGAAAACCGAAGTTCGAAGTTCGCGTGCCACTTTTTTGTCGAAGCCGTCGTTGACGCGGCGACGCCATTGCACCTCTCCTACGTTCTCGCGCAGGTTGACAATGTTTGGCGGCACGGCTGTGACGGGCCAGCACCAGCTCCTCAGCGGTACATCGCAGCTCGCCAAGAAGTACCATCAGATGAAGCACGGTGACGGCAGCAGCGGCGTGGACCGGCGACGTGGCACGTCGGTCCTTCCGGATGAAGCGGCTGATTTGCGCACGCTTGGCGACGAGAGCGCGCGGGCGCTTCTTCAGCAGGACGCCGACGCGCAGGCCTCGTACACCAAGCTTACTGAGCACGACAAGCTCGCGCTCTTTGAAGTTGCTACCGACACGTACTACGCCGTCAAGGGCGTCATCACGGTACACTTGCTCCGACTCGCACTCCGTTGACATAGCGTAGGTACACACGTGCCTCTCGGAGGTTATGCAAATGCTCAACACCAAGAACCCGGAGCAGTGGAGCGACGTCATGACCCGCTTCCTCGGGCCCATGCACACCTCGTCGTGCCTCTGGTACCGAGACCGGTCCGTGCGCAGCGATGACTATGCGACGTCGGTCCACACCCTTGTGGTCAACCCCGCCGCGCTCAACACTGTGAGCGAGCGCAACGCGACGGACCGCGAGCCCCGGGAGTTTTGCTACCTCCGGTACTCGGACTACTTTGAGCTCAGTGAGCACAGCATCGAGCGCACGCTGCCCGAAGATGTGGTGCGACCGACGCTCCGCGGCGTCTCTATCTGGGAGTCGGTGTCGCTGCTCGATGGCCCCAAGGATGCAACCGGCAGCTTTCACCGCAGCGGCTTTATCGTCGAGCCGACGCACGTCGTCAACACGGTACCGTTAGCGATAGTCGTCCTTTCTATCTCATCGGAAACGTCGTCATAGGTCAAAGTGTCATTTATGTTGACGTCGACAGCGACGGCCGCGCGCGACCTCTCGCACCACTCGAGCAGCCGCCACATGAGCAACGCCAGCTACCGCGTCAGGACAGCTGCGGACGCCTTTTTCCTCCAGCGCCTCGTCCGGTCGACGATAAACCACTTTAGCAGCGCACTCATGGACCAGCGCATTCCGACCGACCGGCTGCTCGCCAAGGAGCTTTGGAGCGACGGCAGCATGTGCTGTCTCTGTCTCAAGAACTTCACGCTCTTCCGGCACAAGCACCACTGCCGCCTCTGCGGCGACGCGGTCTGCACGTCCTGTTCGATCAACCGGCACCGGCCGACCGACCGCCAAGACATTCGCGTCTGCGGCGCGTGCGTCGACGGCAACCCCGCCAACATGATCCGCGCGTCCAGCAAGCTCTACTCGCAGGAGAACATCCGCGCCAAGCAGCTGCTGCAGGCGTCGCGCAACAGTACGAGCGCGCTCCAGTCGAGTCGCCACCACAGCGAGTTTCGGTCAGTGCGGGGCCACTCGGCAGTCTCGTCCCTCGGCCCGCGCCCGATCGAGACCAAGGACGTCGAGGACGCGCCGGCTGTCATGGACCCGCTGCACTTTGCGAGCCAGCGCACGTTTGTCCTCGAAGAGACGACGGACGAGCCGGTCAAGCCCGACTTTCGCAAGACCAAGTCCGAGTCGCGGCTCAAGGTCGACCACGTCAAGAGCGATGCGTTCGCCTTTGCGGCGCAGCAACCTGGGACGCCGCCGGCGCGCCGGCATGACCGTCCGTACCCGCGGGCGTCGTTCGCGCCCCGGGGCAAGCGACCCGAGCCCGACGCGCCACCGGCATCGTCGTCGTTCCGGGACCACTTTCACCAGCACAAGCACCGGTCGACGCCCGAGCCGGTGCAGCGCGCGCCGCCCGAGCACCGCCAAGCACCGCCATCCGAGCACCGTTCGGCACCGCCGCCCGAGCACCGACCAGTGCCGCAAGACGAGCCAATCCTCCGGCACCAGCAACAGCGCATGCACACGAGCGCGGAGGGCAGGCACCGGCAGCACACGCAGCACCGGTCGGTGTCACCCACCGAAGCGCCGATGCAGCGGACGTCGCCTTTGGAGCGTCGGTCGCCGCCGGACAACTCGCCGGCGCACCCCGAGCCAGAGCCAGTGCCCTTCGACGCGCGACATCCGTCTGCCTACTATGCAAAGCAGCCGCAACCCTTTCAGGGACGCCAACCGCAGACGACGATGCAGTGGAACGACCCGCGACCGGCGGCACCGTCCTGGGCCGACCCGCTCACGCCGCTCGACTCGGACTATATCACCGAGTCCAGTCCGCTCTTGTACCCGCTGAGCTTTCGCAACGGCAACGAGTGGCCCGATGCGCCCGAGACGGCGTTCGAGGACCTTCGGCTGCGCAAGGCGCACGAGCTCGACTTGCTCCGGCGCCGGGACGAGGTCCAGCGCTACGTGCAGCTCGCTTGCAAGGCGCTTGCGTGCCCCGTGGGCGCGATCACGGTCGTCGGCGGGTCGGCCGGCCTCCTCATCGCCAAGGTCGGCGTCGGCGCCGACACCATGCCTCGCCACATCATGCTCGAGTCGCACGCCATCACGTCGCGGTCGCCGCTCATCGTGCTCGACTGCCGCGACGATCTGCGCTTCATGGCCAACCCGCTCGTGAGCCACGGTGAGGTTGGCATCCGTTTCTACGTTGGCCTGCCGTTGTGCACGTCGGACGGCTGTGTCATTGGTGTCCTCTCGCTCGTCGACACGACCGCCCGTTCGCGGGTCCGGAAGAGCGACCTCCAAGCCGCGATGCAGGTGGCCACCACGGTCATGCGCCGCTTCGAAGACATGGCGCTCCACGACGAGGGCCAGTACCATCCGCACGCACGGGGCTATGGCCGGCCGGCGTCGCCCGACCTCGACCTCGATTGATGAGAGCGTCGTTGCCGTAGTACAGTACGTGGCGTGGTAAGCAGCATGAAGCCGATAGAAGCGAGTGCGTCGTAATGCTTGCGCTGCCACCTTGGGTGGCTCGGCTTGGGCGCTGCTTGTAATACAATACAAACATTTAATTCGTCGCCTTGCCAGCAGCGTGGGTGGTCCTATTTTTATTAAATTGGCCACCGTGCCGCCTGTCTATGTTAGTATCCGAACTTTGCCGGTTCAAGCATTCGATTCAGAGACGCAGTCACTCGCATGCGCATCTCGAGCTACGACGCGCCCTTCTCGGCCGACGACGTGGACCTGCTCCATGCGCAGGGCGAGGCCGCCATGGAGGATCTTCTGCGCTACGACCTTGCCAAGGCCCACGCGTACACGCGCCTCGGCGACAAGGACAACGTGGCCATGCTCGAGGCCGACGACGACCAGCTCTACACAGTCAAGGGCTCCGTGACCATCTATACGCACCTCGCCGAAGTCCTCGACCTCCTCAACACGCGCCCGCCCGACTACTCGTACGTGCTCTCGCGGCTCCTCGGCGGCCTCCACGCCATCAATCGCATTCTGCATCCCAAGACGACGGACGCCAAAGGCCGCGGCGCCATGCTGCCGAGCGACGACGAAGACGCGATGCTCGTGACGTGGCTCGCCGTGAACGCAGCGACCGAGTCGGCGTCGGCCAAGACCGTCCCGGCGGTGTCGCGCGAATTCTGCTTCCTCCGCTACTCGGGGTATTTCAACAGCAATGAGACCGGCGTCCGGCGCGTGCTGCCCGACGAGCCGCTCTCGCCGACGTCGATGGCGGTCTCGGTCTGGGACTCGATCGACTTCCAGCCGGTCTACATCAACGCGTCGATCGGGCGACTCGTGCGCTCGGGCTTCATCCTCCAGCACACACCGTCGACGCCAAACGCGGTCCAGGTGCACTTTTTGCTCTCGTCCATCGGCGCGCCGGACAAGACGCTCCTCCAGCGCATCGTGCGGTCGACGCTGTTGAATTTAGCGCCGACGATCATGGAGCTGCGGCTCTTCAAAGACCAGCTGCTGCTCAAGAGCGCGTGGGGCGACGGCAGCATGTGCACGATCTGCCTCAAAGCGTTCACGTTCCTCCGCCGAAAGCACCACTGCCGCCTCTGCGGCGACGTGTTTTGCGCCACGTGCTCGATCGGCCGGAGCCGCCCCGAAATGGGCGACAGCGTCCGTGTCTGCGCCTCGTGCATCGAGGGCAACCCCACAAGTATGATCGATTTGTCCTCATTTTTTCCTCATTTTTTCCTCCATTTTCTCATTTTTCCTCTTTTTTTCTCCATTTTTCATTTTCAAATGGTCACTTTGGTCGACCTTTCTAACGATACGCTACGTAGGTATGGTGCGCGCCTCCGACAAGCTCTTCTCAATCGCGCACCGCTTCTCGATCCTCGCGCCGCCACGTCGCAAGTTTGCGGCGCCGTGGCCGCCACGCGACGAACCCGCGCCGACAACGACCAAGCCATTTGACATTCCGTCCGGTAGTAGCCACCACCATGCGCCGCATGGGATGACGCATGGCGACCGCGAGTGGGCGTCGCAGCCGGGGCGCCGGAAGGACCGCCCGGTGCAAGCCCGGGCTGTCGACCCGTTCCGGAAGCAGTCGTTGCCGGACGGACGCAAGCACTCGGTGTCGGCCAAGGACATCCACATTGGGTCGGCGCCGCCCGTGGGCATTGACCCCGTGTTTGAGAAGCGGTTTGACAAGGGTGTCCACCCGCGGAACCACTCGGCGCGACCGGCGCCGTCGCCGACACCCGTGTTCTTAGCCGACCTCTCGTCCGAGGGAACGTCGACGACACCGCACTCGCCGTGGCTTCACGACCGGCGATCGTCGCCCCAGGACCGGCGGTCGTCGCCCCACTACATGAGCTACAGCCTTCCACCCGAGTCCCGCTGGATGCCACCGTCGTCGACACCGACCGAGGACCATGCGACGCCCGCGTGGTTGCCCACCGAGCCCCCCAACTTGCCGAGCCCGTGGCACGGCCCGACCGACGACGGGTACCTGTACGAAAGCACGGGGTTTGACTACCCGCTCAACTTTCGCAATGGCAACCCGTGGCCGGACGCGCCCTTGACGACCACCGAAGCGCAGCGGCTCGAGAAAGCCACGGCCCTCGACCTCCTCCGGCGCCGCGACGACATGGCGCTCTACCTCAAGATCGCGTGCAAGACGGCGCAGTGCCCGATCGGCACGCTTTGTGTCGTCGGCGGGTCGGCCGGGCTCCTCCTCGCCAAGATTGGCGGTGTCTCGATGGACACGCTGCCTCGTCACATCATGCTCGAGTCGCACGCCATCATGTCGTCATCCCCGACGATCGTGCTCGATTGCAAGGAAGACCTCCGCTTCGCTTTGAACCCGCTCGTCAACGCCGGCGAAGACGTCGGGATTCGGTTCTATCTGGGCATTCCGCTGACGACGTCCGATGACGTCGTGCTCGGTGTCCTCTCGCTCGTCGACACCAAGCCCCGCGACCGCGTCCGGAAGGCCGACATCAAGAGCTTGGTGCAAGTCGCCGACACGATCATGGCGCGCATTCAAGACACGGTCGGGCGAGGGCATGAGCCGGCACCGGTCGACTTGGACATTGACTAGAAGCGGCGTTCCCTTTATTTAAACGACTGTCCCAAAATCCAGTGGGTGTGAGCATTGTGCATAGTAGTATTGAGTCGACTAGTCGTCTTCTTGGAGCTCACGCGTGTAGTCGAGGACGTCCGTGACCGATGGCCGGTCTTGCGGGTCGGGCTGCAGCATGTCGCGGATGAAATCGCAAAAGTCGAGCGAGAAGCGCTGCCCGCGAAAGAGCACGTAGTCGCCTTGGGCTAATAACAGCGGGTAGGGTTAGGAAATATGACGGAACCGGTTGAGGATGCGAAATGGTACCCGGCGGGAACGTCACCTTGCCGTTCATGGCCGCGAGACGCATGAAACCCTAACCCCAATCCTAAGCACAACACAGATCGAGCATGTGCTACCTCGCGCGGCGACTCGAACGGGCTCGAGCCAAACGCCATACAGTACCTAGTCCAATCGATTAGTTAGTCGTCCGCTGAATCGACGACAAGAGGTATAGTACAAAATGCAGCCGAGCGACCAGACGTCCGACTGGCCGTTGATGCGATGGCCAATTTCGGGCTCAAAGAGCTCGGGGGCGCGATACGGTGCCGAGCACTTGCGGTTGGCGTCGTCTTGGACGTCCATGAGCTACGTACGTATCAATGTGTCAAGGTCAAGAAGTTGCAACGTTGTACCTTGCGCCGGTCGGTGATTTCGGTCACGAGCGGCGCGCACGAGCCAAAGTCCATCAAGATCGGGTGATCGCGGACGCCGAGGAGCACGTTATGCGGCTTCAAGTCCCGGTGCGCAAACCCAGCTTCGTGCAGCGCGAGAAGCCCGAGACAAATCCCTTCTAGAATGTGGAGGCAACGGAGCTCCATGAACGGCCAAGGCTCGGCAGCGTTGTCGTTGGCGGCTTGGACCTCGTCAAAGATCGTGCCGTGGTCGTGGTACGGCAGTAAGAAGAGGCACTACGCCATGCTTACGTCCTGCGCAAATGCAAATGCAACGAGCGACTTGAGTACCTCGTGCTTGCCATTCGTGCGGCTTTCACCGTACTGCAGCAAGTGCAGCAAGTTGGGGTGCTCGACCGTCTACATCATGGCTCATGTCCAGCGCCAGATCCGTGCAGGCCGTATTGTACCTGGAGCACTTCTCGCTCGATCGCAGCGTCGGCTTCGACCTCGGCCGACGTGAGCACGACGCGTTTGAGCGCACAGAGCTCGTTGGCGCCCGTCTTGACAAGAAACACTTGGCCGTACCCGCCCTCGGCGAGCAGCTGCACGATGCGCACGGTCGTGTTGCCGATGCTCATGGTTTCGCCCTACAATTGAGGATAAAATACCGGCCAAAATCGTGCGAACCCGGTACCTTGGTCATGGCGCTGCTGGCGCTCGAAATTGTATTGGAGAGCGACGAGAGGAGCGAGCCGCCCCACTTCTTAGCCTTGCGCGCCGTGTCGTCGAGGTTCATTTTCTGCGCAAAATCGATCGCATTGCGCTTCGCATCGTCCAAGTTGAGATTCTTCGCAAAGTCTTTGGCCATTTCCGTCTGCTTCTTGAACTTTTCCTTGAGCTCACTCGCCGAGAGGCCCGACTTGGCCTCGGCTGGCGTCTTGTCGGCAAACGTGGCCTCCCACGCCGGCGCCTCGTACCTACATAGCATGCATGCCAATTGTGGTCGAGATCACGAAGGCGCCTACTCTTTCTGTGGCTTGCGCGAGCTCGAGCCAGAGTTAGTGCGCGAGCTCGAGCCATCTAGAGACCATTGGGTGAGCTGACAGCAACAGCATACGGCCATGTACTGGACGAGCCAGAGTTGGTGCGGGAGGAGGGCCGCCCGACCGCCGGCATCTCGACGGCCACCACGTCTTCCGGCCACATGACCTGCGTCTCGAAGGGCGCCGAGAGCACGATCTTGGCGTGGATCGTACTCCGGGTAGCGAGCGGCACGATCGAATTCGGGTTGGCGTACGCGCAGTACACGCCGTTCTCGTGCTGGAAGCTAAAGTGGCAGTGGGCGAACGGACAGGCCGCCTCGACGTCGCGGAGACGGAGCGGCTCGTGGCTCTCGGGCACGTGGAACGCGTTCGGGTGGCGCGGCGTCGCGCCGTCGTCGCCGAGGATGTCGTAGAGCACCAGCATGATGGTCGCAGGCGGTTGCCAAAATCTGCCGGTTTGGATCCGGAAACGCTGCCACCTCTCCGGATACCCTGCCACAGATGCGCAGCGCGGCCGAGCTCGCTGCCGCCCAGCTGGCCGCGTACAACGCCAAGGACCTCGACGCCTTCTGCGCCTGCTACAGCGACGACGTCGTCGTGCTGAAGCTGCCCAACACGACGCCCGCGCTCGTCGGGAAGGACCAGTTCCGTGCCAACTACGTCGCGACGTTTGCCAACCCCGTGATCCAAGCGCACGTCCCCACGCGTCTGCCGCTGGGCAAGACTCAGTGCCTCGACCACGAGATTTGCGTCCGATCCGCCGACCCGAGCGTGCCGCCCATGGAGCTCATGGTTATGTACGAAGCCAAAGACGACCGCATCATCAAGGCCACCTTCTTCTTCCGGAACGACAATGCGTAGCTCTGCGCACGAGAGACGCTCGTAGCATTTGCCCGTAGCTGCAGTACGCGAGACGCTGTGCATCAACCCGACGAGTCGCCCTAGCGTCAACAAGTTGATAGCAGTGTATCTCGCCATTTTTCCGCCACGTCAAGTGTCTTCTTAGCCTTGTCACTGCTAGTCGGCTAGTTGACACACTTCCAGTTCGTGTTGCTAGTGAGCTCACTGCTAGGCTCAGATTCGCCGAAAGGGCTTTTGGACGAGCGATTCCACGGTCGATTCTGTCGCGTCGAGCCCTGCGGAAGTGGCGCAAGCTGCGCAACGAGTATGCTCTAGAGCGCTCCGTCTGCGCGATCATGCACACACACCATGCGCCCGAGAGACGCGCGGATGATTATGGATCGCTGGTGTAGGCAGAGCGATGGTCCACGTATTCGGCACGGGATTGGTTGTAAAATGCAACTTTGGCGGCGTGTGATTGGAGGAAAATACATCCACACATTCCGTGCTTGGAGCGATGAACACGGCGAAGGCGGCGACGACGACGCGGAAGCGGACCCTCGCCGAGGACTATGGCGGCGACGTGGGCGAGGACTTGCAGGCGTACATGGACGAAGACAACGATCCGGTCCAGAGCAAAGACTCGGTCGCAGCGTCCAACTCGCTCTCGCAGCGCATCCAGAAGCGCTTGACGCAGCTCAACCAAGCGACGCTCGACAGCGAGAAGGGCGACAGCGGGTACTTTGACTTTTCAGCGCTCGAGCTCAAGAAGGACCACGAGTCTCGACCGGTACATGGCCTCCGGCGGCGCGCACAGGCCTCATGGCCGGCGTAGGTGTGGGTGTGCCCCAACGGACGCATCTTCCTCGAAGCCTTCTCGCCGATTTACAAGCAAGCGTACGACTTTCTCGTTGCGATCGCCGAGCCCGTGAGTCGACCCGAGTTTGTGCACGAGTACAAGCTGACGCCCTACTCGTTGTACGCGGCCGTGTCGGTCTCGATCGAAACGGACAGCATCATCAAGGTGCCTCTCTCGACCCTGCAGCCAAGTTGACGCCATGGCATTAGGTGCTCGAGCGCTTGAGCAAGAACGTCATCCCGACGGGCATCACGACCTTTATCCGCGACTGCACGCTCAGCTACGGCAAGGCCAAGCTCGTGCTGCACCACAACGAGTTTTACGTCGAGTCGCTCTACCCGCAGGTGCTGCGCACGCTGCTCGAGAACGAACAGATCCGTCTCGCCCGCGTCAAGGAAGACCCGACCGATGCCTGTACGCGTAGCCTCCATCTATTATATCCTCCAACGACCATCTCGATAGCGACGGCGACGGCCATGACCTCGAACGAGTTTAGCTCCAACGGCGAGTTCCTTCAGAAGGAAGTGACGGCCGAAGACCAAGCCAACATGCAGTACCAGAAGCTGCTCATGGAAGACTACGACCAGACCGCGGAAGGCAGTGCAAAATCGACGTCGGCCGCGACCGTGCAGACCGTGAGCTTCCGCATTCGCAAGACGCACGTCGAGCAGGTCAAGCGCGCCTGCCTCGACATGGACTACCCGCTCATGGAGGAGTACGACTTTCGTAATGACAAGACGATCCCCGACATTGACATGGACCTCAAGCCCACAACGCGCATTCGCGAGTACCAGGAGAAGTCCCTCAGCAAGATGTTTGGCAACGGCCGCGCGCGGTCGGGCATCATCGTGCTGCCATGCGGAGCGGGCAAGACGCTCACGGGCGTCACGGCCGCGTCGACGATCAAGAAATCGTGTCTCTGCCTCTGCACGTCGGCGGTCTCGGTCGAGCAGTGGACGGCGCAGTTCAAGATGTGGACGACAATTCCCGAAAAGAAGATTGCGCGGTACGCATGTCTTGGATATGGAGGTGGGGTATGGATTTTACATATTTTTTTGTAGTTTTACCAGTGTCGAGAAGGACTACATTGACCCCGAGTCGGGCGTCATCGTCACGACGTACACCATGGTGGCGTTTGGCGGGAGCCGCGCGGCCAAGTCGGCGGCCGTCATGGCCCTCATCCAGAGCCGCGAGTGGGGCTGCATTCTCCTCGATGAAGTGCACGTGGTGCCGGCCAAGATGTTCCGCAAGGTAGGACAAAGCACTACGTTCGCATAGCCATCTATAGCGAGTGTTGTAGGTGATTGGGTCGATCGCGTGCCACTGCAAGCTCGGGCTCACGGCGACTTTGGTCCGCGAAGACGATCTCATTGGCGACCTCAACTTTCTCATTGGCCCCAAGCTCTACGAAGCCAACTGGATGGATTTGACGCAGTCGGGGTTCTTGGCCAACGTCTCGTGCGTCGAGATCTGGTGCCCGATGACGGGTCCCTTCTACGCCGGTCCACGCACTCTCAAAACGCGCCTCTCAAACTCAATTTTGTGTTGTTGTTGTAGAATACCTCAAGGAGAATGTGAGCGCCCGCAAGCGCGCGTTGCTGTATGTGGCCAACCCAAACAAATTCTCAGCGGCCGAGTACCTCATCCAGTACCACGAGAAGCGCGGCGACAAGATCCTGCTCTTCTCGGACGACGTCTTTGCGCTCCGCCTGTACGCGACCAAGCTCGGGAAAGGCTTCATCTACGGCGGCACGGGCGAGCGCGAGCGCATGCGTCTCCTCCAGTCGTTCCGGACGAGCCCGCACGTCAATGTGATTTGCATCTCCAAGGTCGGCGACACGTCGATCGACTTGCCGGAAGCCAACGTCATCATCCAGGTCGACTTGTCGATTCGTATATTATTTATGCGACATGGACCGTATTAGGTGAGCTCGCACTTTGGGTCGCGCCGCCAAGAAGCCCAGCGTCTCGGGCGGATCCTTCGGCCCAAAGCCAACTCGACCGGCGGCTTTAACGCGTTTTTCTACACGCTCATCTCGACGGACACGGCCGAGATGTACTACTCGAACAAGCGCCAGCAGTACCTCGTGGACCAAGGCTATACGTTCAAGGTCGTGACCGAGCTCTACGACAAAACGACGTTCAAAGGCGTCTTTACGTCCAAAGACGCGCAGGCACAGCTTCTTCTCGAAGTCCTCGAAGCCCAAGACCTCGACAAAGTGTCCAAGTCGGATCTATCGATGTGATGAATCGATATCTGACGTTGTTTGTAGCGACGAGATGGCTGCGATCCGCGACGACGAAGATCTCACACGGCTCTCCAACAAGAAGAAAAAGTCCTCGTCGCTCGGCGCGCTCTCGGGTGCCGACGGCAGCAAGTACATGGAGTACTCGGCGGGCCACGGCGCCAAGCAGCGCCACAACCTCTTCCGCGATCGCTACCGCTAACGGCATCGTGCATACATCGACCGTTCATACATACTGTACTCCATTTCTCGTCATTCACAGCGACATGGGTGCTGGAGAATGCAGTGTATTGCAGGCTTACAAAGGCGTTGATGGTTGGCTGGCCCACCACCATTCGTTCTTCCCCCGGCGTTCTTCGTCGCGGTCTTGGGCGAGGCGCGTCTCGACTTGTCGCCGCAGTGCCAAGAGCGTTGGTTTGGAGGCGCTGCGGTCCTTGTCGGCTACCCCCACGCCTCGTATGTTGCCTCTTTTGTACTTTGCGTTTCTACCTCGGGTCGCCGTCGTCTTGGCGATCGAAAAGAGGCCCTGCACGTGTGCTGACGAGGGCGGCGGCGACTTGCACAGGAGCTGGTGCTTGAGAATGCGCGGCTGCTCTGGCGGCGACGAGTTCCACTGCGGTTCGACGATTCGGGCCGTGACGCAAAGGTCATGGTCCGTGGCTGGTCCTCGCACGCGCCCTACGAGTCAGCAGCAGCATGCATCTCCTCGCGATCGTCCCTGGATACTGTGCGTACCGTGCGAGGACGGTGGCTTGCAGGGCGAGGCTAGCCACGGCTTGGTGTACTCTCGCCGAGGCCACGCATGCTGGTCCCGCCCCTTGGTGTCGGTGACCATCGGTTTCAGAGAAAAGACACACTAAGAACTGGTTGCAAAGGCGCATTATTCCATACTCGAACTATCCATACTCGAACTAGTTGGCGTCTTGGGTTTGCAGCGACTTGGCGACGCCATGGACAAAGTTGAAGTAGACGTACTTGGCATCAAACTCCATGTCATGCCTAGCATTGCCAATGCTCCATGTCGTCCACTACGTGGGAAGGAGGAGGAGGTACCAGTAGTTGACTGACACGGTGTCGCAAAGCTGCGTCGCGCGGTGGTACCAGAGCGACGGCAAGTAGAGCATCTCGCCCTTCTCGAGCACGACCTCCAACGGGCGAAGGTGCTATCGATAGGAACGATAGCAAACATAATCAACGACTCCATCCAAGACCTTGGCGTTCGGAAAGGTTGTCGCGTCAATCGCAAGCGGGTCCACAGGAATCCACGGGGTCATGTCGGACGCGGCCGAGGCAGGCATATAAATGCGCCTACTCGAGCATTGTCGACGGAGGTTGATACGAGAGTGTCATACCACATCGGATGCGACGACGGTCGCAGCGCGGACGGGTCGATGCCGGCGGTCTTGGTCACGTGCACGTAGCGCGTCGTCGGGTACTCGGTCTCGTGAAGAAAGGCCACGTCGGACGGCGGCAATAGCGTAAAGTGCTTCTGGCCCCGCACAACGCAATACATGTTCTAGGACCACCAGCAATATTCGAGCGTGTATAGGGATATGACAAAGCCGACCTCGTAGTGGTCCTTGTGCATGGTCGAGATAGCGCGCTCGTCGCCGATCCAGAGGTTGACGGCTTCGGGAGCGTTGCCAAAGGCCTCGGCCGCAAAGCCAATCGCGTCATCGACGTCGTTGACGAGCTCGGGGAATTGGTCCCGCAGACTGTCATTCTACTTTGTCGTCGTCTTGGCACTAGCCATAAGACGCGAGGACATATCTACCTGGTGCGAAAGGTACGGGATGCCGTCAAACGCAGGGTCGTGGTACATGCGGAGGAACTCGCGGAATGTCACGTCGCGCTCTTCTGGCTGCACAAAGACGTCCGTGCCGTCCGCAAGCTGGAGCTAAGAATCGGAGGCGTGAGCGTATGGCGCATGCAAGCAAGTCATAGACTACCACGGCGTCGCCATAGCCCGACGGCGTGACGTCGACAGTCACTGTCTTGTCGCCAATGGTCTCGTCGAAGAAGGCGTCCGACCATTTGCGCAGCGCGGGCCAGTGCTCGATGCCGCCGACGATAATGACTGGGATGTTCTTGCTGACGTAGTCGCGGTAGAAGGCCAGCGGTGTCGGCGGCGGAATGCGCGCAATCTTCCGCGGCGCCCAAAAGTCCTGCGCGTCTTCACCCAGCTGCGCTAAAATCGGCTCCATCGTCGGTCGTCCTTTCTGAAATGCAAACTGCAATGTCGAGATTGGCAATAGGACCAATAGACTATATGCACGCAACGTTTGAATGGTTCGAGTCCTCGTGCAGGGCACTGAGGCGCGTTCTGTGCAAAGAAGCTGCAGGACTTTGCAAAAGAAATGGTTCGGCAGCAGCAAGAGCTGTTTTGGACAGCTTGATGCTTATGCTGTAGAGACTCTAGAGACCATGATTGCACCGCAATGGCGTGTTTTTATCCTACGTTTGATTGGCCAAAACCGGATTGGATTTCGGGGGATTTCGCAAGCGACCAAGTCCGAGCAATATGCATCGCCTGGTCTACCTCGGCAACGCCGGTCCGTGCATGAGGTCCGAAGCGCATGAGGATCATGGACTACTCGCGTAGCGCTTCGCCAAGTCTCGACGAACGTCAAGGACGTCCATGACATGCGCTCGATCGTCTCAGCCATGACCAGCATCGTCGTACGTCAGACCCTCGCGCTTGGCAAACCCGTCGACGACTGCATAGGGCGAGCACCAAGGCTTGGGCCTCGCGGGGCCGCAGATTGGCGTCAACAAGCGTCTCTTCCTCATGGTCAAGGACTTGCCTGAAGGTGCTTCCTTATCGTAGTCCACGCACGACGCTTCATGCTGGTCTAGACGAGGAGACGCCGCTGACGTACGAGCCGATCTTCAACCCGCGGATCGTCTCGAGCTCGAAGGAGATGACACGCGACTTTGAAGGCTGCTTGAGCTTCCCGGGGTACCAAGGCGTCGTCGCCCGGTCGTCCGACATTGAAGTGCTCTACACGAACGCGGACGGGAAGGAGACGCACCGCGAGCTCAGCGGTCTCCACGCGCGCGTCTTCCAGGTGCCTTCTCATCATGTGTGTCCTTCCAAGAGCTCACGATATGTGATTAGCATGAGCTCGACCACTTGGACGGCGTCATGTTCCTCGACAAGTGCAACGTCAACGTACGACGTCCCTCATCGCTTCGTAATGCTCATCGTCATCTTGCTCTAGTCGCTCATCCACAACGACGAATTCACTCAAATGGACTTTCTGCAGCTCCAGCTGCTGCTCCTCAATGACGACGACGACGACGCGTAGAGACGAATCGATGAATAGTACAAGCTGCCTAGGCGCTGGTATACTTGTCTAGCGAGCGGCGGACTGCATCGGGTCTACACTTTGTGGTCCTGCTCCAAATACATCTTGGAGGCATGGACCCAGCTCACGACTTGCTTGACGCCAACGTACATGGGCACAAAAACGATGACGCTGACGACCCACCACGTGAGGCGGTCGAGCGACGCTTCGTAGAACGCGACGCCGACCATCCACTCGTCAAGACACTGCGCACGCGTCTTGATCTACACAAACACAGCGATGATATGCGTCATGCTGGCACGAGAGCGTCTACCTTGGCGCCTTCGGCGAGCGTCACCGCGTGCTCCTGCATCGCGACGCGCTGGCTGCGGTGCGGCACGGCGACCGGTCGTCCGAGGAAGGTCGTTTCCCGCAGGGGCATGATGTCCGACGCCGCAAACGTGCGCTCTGGCACATGCTCGGGCGTCGAGTACTCGTCGTTCTGGAGCTCGAGAAACCAGAGATTGGCGTGGGGCAAGCCAGGTCCATACGTATGAGGCTCAGAGCCTGGAAACGCCTTCTCGGACCACGACGGCGCGGGGTTTTCGATACGCGCGTAGACCTGCATGAGCCGCCGGTGCGGGTCGTACATGACGTGCATGCCCTTGGCTTCAAGGCCCGTCACAATGTTCCAAAAGGCGGTCGACTCGAGGTGGACCATCTCGATGGCGACTTCGACCGACGAGACGTGGTAGTCAATGCCACTGGGCCGGCCCATCTCCTTCGCGGCTTGGGCGGCGGCGAGCACGCTCGGCTCCAACGACACGGCGGGCTTCTTCGCAGCCAAGAGCGCTTCGGTGAGCGAGCCGAAGGCGAGCCAGTGCGTCGTGCCCAAGTCAGTGAGCACCGAGAGCGTGACCTCGCCGATCTGTGACGTTGCTCTCGAGTACGCGTCGCTCACTGCGCAGCCGCGGTGGTAGCTCACCTCCATGAGCAAGAAGAAGGTCAAGAGCATCGAGATGGCGGCGCGGATCGCACGCGACGTCCAGGACGTCCGCGCCCTGGAAAATGGCGCTGCTACTGACGCAGAGTTCCGTCGGCTGCGGCCCGAAGACGTCTCCGAGGCTAGGAGCTCGGCCGCGTTTGCTCCGCTGTAGCGGCGCTGCATCCGTCAGCCTTCGTCGCCTCAAGCGGTGTTCCTGACGGTGAGTGTTACCCCAGATCCCGTACATGCAATGTACATTGTACGTACGATTTGACACTAAGATCCTATTCGTACAGTACCGTACACAGATCGCTCATGTCCTCGTACATGAAATGCTGAAGGATTTTAGCCAATCGTTGCCGTGCACAAGGCGCTGATGGTGCAGCTCAATCAGCTTCTTTGTGGCATATGCCATGTTTAAAACGACACCGTCGTGCCTCTCAAAATCAATAGTATGCGAAGGATCGAGGTCGACCACGACGCTGCCAGCAGCGAGCCTTTTCGATATACTGCGACGACAAGATAACTAAACCGTCCACAATTAAAGTTCATTGGAGTAGGGTCTTGTGCTGACGGTCGCGCGGTCATGGCTTCATACATCAACTCGTCGTCTTCGCCCCTCTAGTCGCTCTCGCACTGGGCAATCACAAACGCCCAAAAGATTAAAAAAATGCCTTCACGGAGGGGCGAACGCAGAGTACGCAAGTTCCTCGAGAAGCCACCGGCCCATAAAACCGCAGACGCCGACAGCGCCAAAAAGCACCAGCAAGAGCAGGGTCTTGAACGCCAATTTGTCGGCCCGGCATACGTGCACGAGTCCGGCGATGACGAGAAAGAGGCCGACGCAGCCGCCGGCGATCGCTGCGTCAACAAGCGGGACAAAAGCTCGAGAGAAGGGCGCTCGCCATCGCGACAAAATTAAGAAGAGCAAGGACACTCCACGAAAGGTACGGCCACGTGACGAGGTGCGTGTTACCGAGGAGCACGCGTTCGAGAACATACGTTTTGCTGCAAAGACAGTAGTAAGACGTGAAGGCAAAAGCCACTAAATTGGTCTCGCGGGCGTACTGCTTGGTGGCACTTGGCGCGTTTTGCCGGCGCTTTGCATGGAAATCTAGCCCACAACCCTCCGTGCGGGCTCAATGCATTAGGGTTCAAGGTACGACCGACAAAGCATTGAAAGACTGTGGCATGGCGACATGAGAAATGTTTCCATGAGATCTTAATGACGTGGCAGCCGGACAGCCCGCCTTGTCATCACGGCTCACCAGCGGAGACAGACCTATCCCAGCATTCGAAACCAAAGCTGCGTGTGCGTATTTGATTTAGCGCAAGAGCTGTGGTGCCGTAGGCTGGGCTACGATACGCAGAGGCGCTCCATCGTCGCGCAGTTTCGAGGCAAGTGCCATGCCCAACGCCCGAAACAGCCCTCGTCGATCGTCGACTGTGATCGATGTTTGGTGGTTGGTGGTACATGCGCTGTGCTGCCTGGTGCCTGCTTGACAATGTGGGGGGTGCAGGTGAGGAAGCGTCCTTCGAGCAATAGAGTACTGATTGCAGTGCAAGGTGGTAGTAACGACGGTGTCAATGACGTGCGTCCAGCGGCGAGATGCATTGTACACGCTGAAACCACACAGACGCCCTCATTCTTCGATTCTCCCCATGTCACTCTCAACGGTGGTGGCGGTCAAGACGGTCGACGACGCACAAGTCGCGCAGCTCTCGACGACGGCGCTCGGCCACATTGCGGGAGTCGACTTCAAGTGCCACAGCGCCGAGACCGCGAGTCTGTGGCTGTACCTCGCTTTCCACGACGATGACGTTCTGGCGCGAGCGATGCCTAGCCTCGCAACGTGCGGCGCTGATGCACAAGACGTGCTCGTAGCATGGGCCGTCATGATGACGCCGACAACGTTTCCGCGTCATCTTGAGCTGCACGGGGACTTTGCCATACTGGTCTCGCGCGACCGTTCCGTGCGTGTTGCAGTGTGCATGTCGCCCGCCCATGAGATCCTCTACGTTACCTTTGCGTCGCCAACGACGTTCCAGACGGACATCATCCTCAGCACCAACCACTTGGCGACACCGAATGGCGAAGCGACGTCCGCACGCCAGGTGCTGATTGGCGGCAACGTGTGGCTGTACGTCTTCAAGCTTCTTGCGGCCATGCCCGACGGCGTCCAGCATCTGCAGCGTCGTTTGGCGCACGCCATGACGCAGTATGCGACCTTGCGCTACAACGTCATGCGCCCGGCGAGCAACTCCCTCACGAGCGGAGCGCCGCTTGCTCCCTTTGCTGAAATGCTCGATATGCGTGCGAAGCAGTCGTCGCCTTCGTCGCTGCCTCCGCTGACACCAGCGCGCTCGACTCTGGCCGGAGAAGCACTCGCGCGTCGGACGCCGTCGCCTTTTGCACTCCGGCCGCCGCAAGCCCCACGTCCAGACATGATGCCAGTGGGACCGTCGTCGCTCACGTCGCCGTGGTCGTCGCCGAGCAGTGGCTTTGGGTTTGGCCACCAAAACAACTTGTCACCCGACTCGCTTCGCGAGCTCGAGCGCCGGTACGCGTCGCCATTGCTTCTGGCCAACTATCCATCACCGATTCACTCGTCGCCGCTCGTCATGGAGAGTCCGCCCTTCGACTTGCACTCGCCGCCGCCAGCCACGCGCCCAGCCTTGTTGCTGCCGCCGAAAGAGGACGACGACAACGACCTGGCCGACCAAACGCTCAATATGTCGGTCGATGACATCGAAGACGACGAGTATGAACGCGGCACAATGGTCGCGTAGGCAACAGCGTCTCGTTCGCACTGCATCTCGTGACGTCTTTTACGGTCTTTTTAACTCGCAACCATATTAACCTTCTTGTGCAACCTCCCACTGCATTTGCTTTTTTGCGGATGGGTCGATCCAAGTCGCCAAGATTTTGCTGGTAGTCACGGACGGGCGACGGTTCCATGTGACGTACGTCGGACCACACGGAAGTGTGATGAGACGGTAAAGTCCATCCGTGAGCACCACGAGATCGTTGCAGACACCGCTTTATCTTCACGTCTGGAAAGGCGTGGGCCATCATCCGGGCTACTTGACGTCACTATCGATGACAGCACAGAAATGGGTGCCTCCGCCAATCGTTGCACAAACAAGGTCGTCTGCCTAGCACCAATTGGAATGCATAATCCATATGATTTCATCGTTCCTACCAGCCCACTCCCCCGGAGCCTAGTAACTCGGTTTCTCGCCTTTTCGTTCGACTGTTCGAGTCCTTGATGACCGCCGTGATGAGGTATCGCCATTCTGGCTGTCATGTACCACCGACCTGTTTGGCTTGTGTGATGGCGTGGCCGCTTCAAGCAGCAACCTGCAGTGCACGGTCAACCGGATCGCAGTGTTGCGTGCAATGTATTGCAACTGAGCTCTAGTGCTTTGGAGAGAAGCTTTCGAATGATCCGCAGCCGTTCCCAACGTGGACGCTGCTTGCCAGAGCGCCACGTATGCACCTGTATAACTTAATCCATATCCTGCCAAAGTCGATTTTTCACTGGACGTTGGCGTCGTGCGATCGGCCACGCCGGATAAATCGTATCCGGATAGTCGGTGGCCAAGCCAAGATGGTCATTCGGCCGATCGATCCAGATGCAGCTCCAGCGACGCAAGGCCCGAGGCGACGCAGCGCCACCGCCACCGCCCACAGCACGCGCCCATGACAACGCGATCACGTCTGCGTGGTCGCGCATGAGCTGGCGCAAGCCGCTCTCTCTCACGCGCGCCGACGAGAGCTCCAGTGAGCACCCGCACATGGAGCGCACGCTCGGCTGCTTCGACTTGCTCATGATTGGCATTGGTGGCACCGTCGGCAGCGGCGTCTTCGCCACCGCGGGCTTGGTACGCTGCATCGTCCTCGCCATCTGCTGTACTCTAATGCGTTCGTAGATTGCGCGGTCGTACGCCGGACCCGGCGCGGTGCTGAGCTGGATCTTTGCCGGCCTCGGCTGCATCCTCAGCGGCGCGTCCTTCATGGAGCTCTCGGGCTTGATTCCATCAGCAGGTAGCACGTACGCGTACGCGTACCATGCGCTCGGTGAGCTTCCGGCGATGCTCGCAGGCATGCTCTTGACGCTCGAGTACGGCGTCTCGAGTGCCGGTGGCGCCCGCGCGTGGAGCGACAAGCTCGCTGCTTGGCTCACGCACCTCGGCTTTCCAGGGCCCAACTGGATGAAGCCAAAGGGCGGGTTCATCGACCTCTACGCCGGTCTCCTCATGGTACCCTCGTCGACGCGAGGCTCGTTCTAACAGCGGATCTTTCTGGTGCAATGTAGATGCTGTGCACGGTCATTGTGCTCTGCGGCATGTCGGCGGGGAAGCGACTCATCAACACGATCACGGTCACTAAGATCTCGGTCGTCCTCTTCATCATTGTCGTCGGCCTCTCGCAATTTCAAAAATCCAACCTCCTCGAGCCGTTCTTGCCGCCGGTCGCGCGCAACGAGCACGACCAAACCGTGTACGGCTGGCCTGGCGTCATGCTCGGCGCGAGTGCCAGCTTTTACGGCTACATTGGCTACGGTACTCTCGATATATATGGACAACATGTCCATCGATGACATCTGGGTAGACGAAGTGTGCTGCTTGGCGGCTGAGGCCAAGAACCCGACGCGGGACATTCCCCGGGCGGTGTTTGGCACGGTCATTGGCGCCGCGCTTCTCTCGACAATGGCCACGTTGTCGCTCGTCGGCATGCAAAAGTACTCTGCGATCGACATTGGCGAGTCGTACGGCACGGCATTTCACGAGGTGCGTCACCGTAAATCGCGACGCGTCACCACTCTGTTCTTATTCTCCGTCGCTTATGTTAGCTGGGCATGTCGTGGGCGGCTTCGGTGGTCGAGACGGGCGAAGTGCTCACGATGCCTGTCGGTATCCTCATTGGGTTCCTAGCCCAGCCCCGGGTCCAGGTACCAACTCGTCGCGACTTCAGGCAATATTTGCGACATGTCTAGTTTGCAATGGCGCGCGATGGCCTCCTTCCGTCGATCTTTGCCAAGCTCGATCGCCACGGCAACCCGTTCTTTGGTACGCTCATCTGCGGCAGCGTCTTGACTCTGGTGGCGGTTTGCATCCCCTTCAAGTACCTCTGGGACTTTATCTCGCTCGGGATTCTTGTCGCGTTCAACGTCACCAACACGTGTCTCCTCGCAGTGCGCTACCGCCACAGCAGCATGGTCTCCCCCGTGTCGCGACTCGTACCCGAAGCCTACCGCGTCTTTGCCCTCATCGGCGCCTTTCTCATGGCTTCGTACCTCTCAGCCTACCACGTGCAAGAGAGCCTGCTCGCCCCGCGCGGTACTCGATTTTCTGTGTAATAAGTCTCATTTCTACTGCGTTAGACCTCGACGAGTCGCTGCACCAGCGCTACATGCACGCTTTTGGGACAACAGGCGCAGTCATTTTTACCTTACTCACTGGTACGCGTCTTCCTCGACCGCCGTGGCAGAAGATACATATCCGTCCTTAGGTGTCACGGTGGGCATGCTGGCACTGAGTACGCCGACACCAGCGGACTTGCTGCCGAAAGAAAGTCCCGAGAACATTCAGACGCTGCCCGATACGCCGAGCACGGTCGTCTCGTCGTCGACAACCGACACGGACAGCCTTATCGTGCGCAAGCTCGTATCGTTTGCGATAGTCTCATCATATCAATGTGGCTAGATGCGCGACGACGAGGACGAGGACGTTGTCGTGGTCGACGCGGCCAGCGTCGCTCCACTGGACGACAATGACGGGAGCGAGGCGAGCGACGACGCCAAGACGGAGGCGTTCAAGGCGCCGCTCGTGCCGCTCTTCCCGTGCCTTGCGATTTGGTTCAACTGGTTTCTCGCGATCCAGATCCCGTCGTTGATTGTGCTGCTCATGGGCGTCTACTTTGCACTTGCGATCGCCATCTACAGCTTCTACGGGCTTGGCGGCCAGCACTCGCTCGCGTCTCGTCACGGCGCCCAGCCGTACGTGGCGGTGCCCGAGACGCTCTCGGCCTAGTTGTTGTTGAGACAACGCGCTAACATTGTCGTTTTGTCATCGTTGGTGGTACCCTCGAAACACTAGCAACCACGCAACACGGAGAGAGGCCGCACAGGAGCATGCACAGACTCCTGCCAACGGGCCGTTCAAGCCATACATACACGATCTTTGTCGAGAACGATCTCGTCGTCGTCCAGCACACTACAAGCACGAGAACGTCATTTCAGACATAGAGACGAATGGACGACTAGCATTGCCGCAGCACCCATGGACGGCGCGTCTGCGCAATTCCTCCTCGAGAGTGCGAGCCGTCGTACTGCGTCTTGCAGCGCTTCTAGCCACATCACACTCGCCAACCAAGCCTACTCCTACAGCGCTTGCCAAGTCCCGTGGGAAGGTCAATGCTGTATTACGTCCGAGGTAGCCTAGATTGTATGGTTGGTCACGCAGGAACGCTATCTATACCGTCACGTCGCGGAGTGGCCGACCGGCATACCGAGCGCCGTACACGAGGTAGACACAGACGGCGAGGAGAACCCAGAGCACCATCATGACGACAGTCAGCACGGGCATTTGAGCCACGAGCAGCCAGTTGAAAAACATGGCCACGCACGGCACGAGCGGTACACCGGGGCAGCGAAAGAGCGCTTCGACCTCGTCGGTAGCCTTATGCGGACTAGTCACGGGCTTGGTGCACGCGAGGAGCACGACCATGCTGGCCGCAACCCCCGTAAACAACGACGCGACGACAAGGCCGGCCGCGGTCATGTACTCGTACACGTAGCCCTCTATACGAAAAATCAATGCTTATAGCACACAAGGGTTGGTATACCGGTGCGAGACGGCGCAATGATCGCTTCCTGCCAGTGCCACGCGGCGAGCCAGGACGCAAGCGAGAAGACGCTGAGGACGAACGGCAGCTTGAGCTGCAGAGACGCGCACTCGATCTGCGTCGCCTCGTAGCGCACAACGAGGAGCGAGAGGTTGGTCAGGTTAAAGGCGAGGAGAATCCCGAGCGAAATGAAGTTCCAGAGCACGTGAAACTCGACGAGCGTTGTGAGTAGGATGAGGAAGAGACCGCAGAGGATCGCGCCCATGCGCGGGTTACCATGGACGTCCAGGCGCTTGAAGACCGCCGGCATAAGACCGTCTTTGGCCATGGCGCACTAGGAAATATGGTGAAATCGGAAATCGGAAAATAATTGATGCAAAATACCTGCACGCGCGGCTGAGCGAGAAAGCCAATGAGAATGCCCACGGGCATCGTGAGCACTTCGCCTGTCTCGACGATCGGCGACGCCCAGTGGTACCCGACCTAAAATTACGTAATCGCACCAATATTGTCTACTAATAGTAGGTACCGATTTAAATGCTTCGCCAAACGACTCGTCGACGTCAATGGACGCGTAGTGCTGCATGCCGACGATCGAGAGCGTCGCTAGAATCGAGAGTGTCGCGGCGCCGAGCACGGTGCCGAGGACGGCGCGCGGAATATTCTTGCGTGGGTTGACAGCCTCGCCCGCCAAACAACACACTTCGTCTATTCCAAAATCGATCGAGTGAGCTCGCAATCATGGATCGCGGTGGTACCATAGCCGATGTAGCCGTAGAAGCTCGCGCTGGCTCCGAGCATGACGCCGGGCCACCCAAAGACCGTTTGACCCGACTCGTTGGTCGTTGACGGTGGCACGAACGGGGTCACGTTGGCGTACTCAAACTTGGTCAAGCCGGCGACAATGATGAAGAGGACAACCGTAATCTTGGTGAGCGTAATGACATTGATGAGGCGCTTCCCGAGGCTCATGCCACCGAGCACGATGAGCACGCAGACAGTCTACGCATGGATATGACCATAACATCACAGGTGTAGGCGCAGCGGCTCGTACCAAGAGAAGACCCGCGTACAAGTCGATCGAGGTCCCCGCAGGACGCATCCACACCGGGCTGTCGACGTTGAAGAGCAGTTTGAGCCAGACAACAAACTTGCCACTCCACGCACGCGCGTTGCCAGCGCTCGAGATGCCATACTCGAGCGTCAAGAGAAAGCCGGCGATCGTAGCCGGGAGCTCGCCGAGCGCATGGTAGGTATACGCGTATGTCGATCCATCGGCAGGGATGAGGCACGAGAGCTCCATGAAGGCGCCGCTGCTGAGGATGCAGCCAATCCCCGCAAAGACCCAGCTCAGCACCGCCGCCGGCCCCGCGTAGTTGCGCGCAATCTAAGCCATCCTCGTCAGAAGCATCATGTTGTAGGATTGTCGAACCAAGCCGGCGGTAGCGAAGACGCCGCTGCCGACCGTGCCGCCGATGCCAATCATGATCAGATCAAAGAGCTGCAGCGACCGCTCGTTCGTCTCGTGGCTCTCTTCGTCGCGCAGCTGCGCGAGCGACTTGCGGTGCGTCGCGCGGGCCCAGAGGCTCTCGCGTCCTGGCTGCTCCTGCTGCTTCATATCTCGAGGACGTGTCGGAAAGTGCAATTGATTGTCGGTAGGTGTACGCTGATTGGCTGCAAATATGTTTTAAAACGAGGGATTGTGGTCATTACACTTGGTGTTTGTATGGACTGCACGCTTATTTGAATTAAATACGGCCGGCCAATCAGTGCATCGCCCTACCCCTAGCTCTTATCAGCTCTGCTTCAAGGCGTCGGTGGCGAGCGCTTTGGCTGTCGACAGCAGTCGCAGCGCCACCGAGACCTCTTCGACCTTGGCCATCTATGTGCGTACGTGGAATTGTACCAGCGAAATGGTATACTAGAAGCGACGTACGGAAGCATCGAGCTTGAGCATCGCCTCCATCACAGTGGTGGCGGTCGTCATGAGCTCGATGCTGGCGCGGAGGCTGTGAATGGCGCGCGACTCGTTCCGATGCCCCAACAGTCTACGATTCAACAAGGTGGGATAGTCCTATGAGAGGTGCGACGTAGTACTGGTGCCGCAGCCACGCGGTCTCCTCGACGGGTGTCAATTTCTGAAAAGCACGGATCGCCAGCAGTTCGACGTAGACCGACTAACCACCGATGTGACCTTCGTACGTGGTAGGCGACGTACGCGCAAGCGCCGATTTAACGCTAAAAGCACGGTGGCTTTTCGAATCGTTTTGCACTTGTTGGGGTAGTGGTGGCTGCGCAAAATCTCGTCCAGATCTAGACTGCATCTCAGAGTCTGCGAGCCATTTCGACTATCGTGCGTACCACATCGCGAGAACGAGTACGCGTCGACGTAGGTTAGCGTCCGCGCGTCGTAAATGGTGAGCGAGTCGATCTTGTCGAGGAGCATGTGTTGGCCGAAAATTTGTCCTTGGTGCAAAATACGACCCCGCTGGGCCACGAGACCTAGTGTGCACCATCTTTCAAGTTTATCCTCAACCTTGAGCCTAGTACCTTTGCTGATAATAAACATCTTGCCCGAGATCTCGCCTGCCCGCACAATGAGCTCTTGCGGCGGGTACAACTCGGCTTCAATGCGGCGAGAGATGGCCGTGACGAATCGGACGTGCTCGCCGGGCGGGCCGCCCATGAAGAATGGAATCTAGCACCACATTTTCAGATGCTCTTTGACGCAGACATGCCTTTTCGACCCACTCGCCCGCCGTGAAGACGCAGAGCTCGCCTTGGAGACCCGGGGAGAGTGTGCTACTCATCGTACCCATAGGTCGCCTTTGAACAAGTACTACACAGAGAAACCGACTTGATGACGCGGGAAAAGTGGCGGTGCAGCATGAGATCTCTGCGGTGCAGAAAATACTCGCGCAACCGAAAGACCATTTCGGGTGGAATGTCTTCGCGCTCCATGTACGTATTCAAGTGATCCTACAAGCATCGCTCGGCACTTGCTAGAGGAGTAAGGGATAAAGATGACGCCGACCATTTGCTGGTTGAACTCGTTGGACGATTCGTCCAGGCTCGAGACGAGACCACAGACCGAACCGACAACTACGACAGTGAGATCGTGATTCAAAGAGAGCGCCTCGTACTGAATGAATACGTCGCACAACCCGTGGTTATGCAGAGAATTGCCACGAGCTTCTCGAGGTTGGTCACCATGGGAACGTCCCCGTACCCGATCGTACCGATCGTCATGACCGACCTACGCCAAATTGATTTGTTATAAGGCTTTGGTGGCATTGTCGTTGGACCAATATAGCGACGCAATGTAGAGGGTCGAGGGCGACGAGCCGTTGACTTGATAGACAACCTCCCAGTTGCGCACGTCGTCCTGGTACTGTGGCACGTAGCCCCAGAGACACGCCATCCAATGTGCCAGAATGATCTAGCGGCGCTTGAGCCACTGCACACTTTGCTACATATCTCAAACCATCACAAAGGCGTATTTCCCAAGCTGCGTCATGGCGACGGGGAACCCCAAGACCGCCTTCCACCGCTGCAAGATGCGGGACGCTCGGAAGACACGGGCGAGCTTGAGGATACGCAGCAGTCGCATGATCTACGAACGCAATCAAGCGAAGACCGGGTCATCCACAACGTACTTGAAGCGCCTTGACGTTTTGCGTCTGGTTCAACGTGAACGCGGACGACGTTGTCATTGCCTAACACGACGTACTACGTGTCATCGTCGATCGATTCATATGATTGGCTACCCAGCTGATCAAGTCGTAGGGCACGATCGACACAATGTCGAGTGCAAACCACCCTAGAAAAGCTCCATATCTCTTTCATCGAATTCGACTTCAACCTTGCACGTAGTGCAGTACGATACTGCGCGGGTCGTCGACCAACTGGTTGGACGCGATATCCATGTAGGGCGTCATAAAGTTGACGCAGCAGTCGAGGAAAAAGAAAGTGTCAATGACGCGGTTCAACACAAAGAGCACGTCGACCACATCCGTCGTAGCAAACGCAATTTCAACCGGCTACGAAGAATTTCCCAATAGACAAAAGGAGACGCTCACACCCACACTACGTACGACAGCAATCGCCGTGTAGAGCACGAGACCGATCAAGACAAGGTCCCATCCCGCTCGAAACGAACTCGACGGATCCAGGACGCTTGAGCGAGGATGACGGGACGTTGTCACCGGCGGTGGGGCGGGTATCTCTTTGGTGACGCGATGTCGCACGAGCCCACGGTTCACGAGCATGTTGTTTTCGCGCAGCTCGTACAGCGAGTAGCGCTTGCGCTCGTGCACGATCGCATGCATCGACGAGGGCACACCCGCCGTGAGCTCCCGTGCCTGCTAGACAGCATCAAGAGGTATAGTCGGTAGCGCATCCATGAACCTTGGCCAGGACCGTGGCCGAGATGCGACGGAGCGACGACCGCCGGGCCTCCGAAATGACATCAATGTAGAGGCTTTGGCGCCGGTCTTCCTCGACCTGAAGATATCGACTATGATGAGATACGCTGCGGAAGATGGGGTCGACTACCACAGGGATGAAGCGGGCGATCTGCACGGCCTTGACAAACGCCCGCATCGTGGCGCGAGCGAGGTTGCCGTTACCGCAGCGAAACCGAAAAAGGCGGTCCTTAGTCATTGCTCGTTAGTCGATTATCAAATTCTTGGAACGAAATATTGAGAAAATGTACAATCGACAACTCGACGTGTGTGTTTTTCTTTTAAATGCAGGCACCTACTCTTGCACGAGGCCGTCGTCGACGTCGCCAAGTAGGTTTTTGAGAAACTTCTCCGTCACGCGTGTGTAGTTGTTGAGCTCTGAGCGGTCAATTTCGTTGAGCGGCTTCTCGGCCAAATGTGTGAGGTGTTCTGTGTTTCGTTCAAGATCCTATCGACACGTATTGTTGCGTGCCAGTACAACGCATATCGACATACCTCTTGGAGGTACTCAAAGAGGTTCTTCTCCGGCCCCGGCGACAAGTAGTACGCGTAGACGTACGAGTATTTGAGAACGCGGCGGCATGCAACCATGGCCTCGATCGCCGCGTTCAGAAAACCCACGTCCATGTACGAGCCGTTGGCTTCGGCTTCAAACTCGGTCATGCGCGCGTCCGTGTTTTCGCGCATGCGCAGCGCATACCGTCCTGCTTCGGCGTGGTTGGCATAGCTACACAATTGGGTTCCATCAGGATACCCAACTTTAGGGTTCCGTACCGTTGGTAATAGTGAAGGTAGCGGTCCAGCTCGGCCTTGGCACGCGCCGCGTCCGTGTCCTGCGGCGCCGCCGCCGGATCGTAGCGATTGCACTTGTAGTAGCCACCTGTGGCCGAGTTGTGGTTGGACCACACGTCCATGCAGATCTATATACGACCTAATTAGCATGCCACTCAAGGTACAGTGCGAGTACGGACCCAGCAAAACTCGTACTTGCAACCGCGGCACGTCATGTGGTTGCAGCCCTGGTTCTTCTCGATGCGCACCGAGCACTTGGGGCATTTCTTGGTGTTGGCTAGGATCCAGTTGGCAGTCTCACTCTCGTTCTTGCACTTTTCTTGCCAAAGCGCGAGCTGGTCGCACGTGACGGGCGCGTGCGCTTCCTCGCCGCAGCTACAAACAGCATGAGTAAACGGACGTCTCCTGAAACGCAGCAAATACCGAAGGCAGAAAAGGCAACCGCACGAGCACGAGACGGTCGTGAGGCCGCCGGACGACACGATCGCATTGTTGCAGCCGGGCGCCGGGCACCACCTGATGCTTCGGTTGATGTCAACAAACGACCGGAGCAGGAATTTGTCAAACGCCTTGTACTCGTTTGCTGGCAAAAGCTTCTTGAAGATCGAGTCGCTCACGCGCTACGTCGCAGCATTGGACATGGGAATTTCAAGCAGCATGTATGTACCTCCTTGCAGCCATGCTGGGGGCACGTCGTTGTGACGCACAAGGGGCCCTCTGAGATCTTGGTCTGCAGATACCCCAGCCAGCAGACGCGACAAAACAAGTGCTGGCAACCCAGCGCCGTGAACCCGCTCTCGGGCGTCTCCATGCAGATCATGCACGGGTCCTTGCATGTGGCCGCGTCCACTTCTTTGCCTGTAAAGCACGCTCTACAGTAAAAGCAGCCAGAGTCCAAGCGTCAGGTCGGTGGCGATTGCGTACCCAGCGGCAGCGTCGACGGCTTCCGGGTCGCTCCAGTACATGTTGAGGAGCTTTTCCTTGTCCCAAAAGAGGTGGCGCAGGAGGAGGCTGGCCTTGTCGACCGACACGGACAGGATCGAAGCGACGTCGCGGACGAGGTCGTCCTTCTGCGTGCGCAGCAAGTCGGGCGAGATGATGCGGTACTCGTTCGAGGCAACGTCGGCAGGCGTGTTGGTCGGGGCCGCGATCGCTTGGCCATCGTCGTCGTCGTCGTCGGCGTCGGACTCGTAGTCGTACTCTTCATCGTCGTCGTCATCTTCCTGAAACCCAAAGCTCTCCATCTCATCTTCCTCGCGCTCCTGCTCCATGTCCACGTGGACGGTGTCTTCCGAGATCGCGCTCATGGTCGATCGGACGGCTCGCTAAATTTCGGCAATGCGACGAAGTCCAAATGCAGCCTCCGCTAAGTTCGATTTCTTTCAAGTCCGCTCGCGGTTCTCCCGCGCCAAGATACCATACGCAAACCGAGTCTAGTATCTGTTTGGGTCATGCGCTCGGTAAAGTTCGTATGGAGCCTTCCCTTCTTCGGAACTTCTGTCCTCTGGCGCCAAACTGCCAAATTGTCGTCTCCTTCTTTGGCTTCACGGCGCCAAGTGTAGAGCAACTGTCTTCGTCGTCGGACAGAGTTTAGGAATTATATAGCTTTGTAAATTGCATTTGCGGTGCCGAGCCGCCGGAGGAACTGGATCCTGTGTTCGGTCGCGATGATGCGTTTGTTCACCACATTTGAATCACATATTTTCAGAAATGCTCGGGGTCTGTCAGTGCGTACAAGACGCTGCTTGGTGCGACTCGAGTTGGATGACTTCCGATACGAGAACGATACTTATTCTAGTGGCTACTGGCAAAGTTTAGACAACTTGCAGCGCCTGGGACATTTTGCCAGCGCAATCGTGAAAAAGCAAGCAAATTGGCCCTTGAAATAGTCGGTGAAATTCCGGATAAGAAGGCACAAATCTTCTGCAAGCATCAATTCGACCAAGATGGTTGCGGGGGGCCGAGGACGCAAAGTGCTAACGCAAGCGCAGCGCCGCGAACGGCAGCGTGAACGCAACCGTGCCTACTACCTCAAGACGCGCGGCCTTGTGAAGCATGAGAAGCAACGAGGGGCGGTCGGTTCCAGCGCTCCTACGGACGCTGACAGCGACACTGGTGTCCAACTCCACGAGCCCACCAACGTGGTGTCCGAGCCGAGCTCTCCCATTCCAAGCGCGCCCAAGACACCGATGGAAATCAAGCAGTCGTGGATCAACGCGTTCGAACTGGCGAATCAAACGGTGCAGCTTCAGCACAAATGAAAACGTAAGCATGAAAGTTGCTGAATCTATATGCTAGTTTGTTGCGTATGGCTTTACTTATTGTTAATTCGAACGGAGCCACACCCTATAAACCTTATCGCCTTGTGGATGGACCGCGCACGCCGGGCCTAGCGCTGTTCAATGGTCGAGAGGACGTCACTGGCGCTCTTGCCGGTTTCGGCCAAGAACCAACCCAACCTGTATCAATTGATATGGAACTTCTAAAATATAGCAATATAGGGTTTTTTAGTTCAACCCAGAGCGCAATATGAAAACGCAGTGCTCGACGAGTACGAGTATTCGATTGGAGTTAAGTTGGCAGGAGCGTAGAACAGCCGAGGTCTCTACTACTACGGTCTCTACATCAAGGCGTCCATCGATCCCTTTGGTCATACAAACACGAATCCAGCCGAACGACCACCAAACGATGTGCAAACAAGTAGCCAATCAGCATTGCGTATTTTCAATCTTCTGGGGAATACGTCTCTTCTTCGACCATTCCCCAGCTCCATTTTCAAAGGCTCAGTGCACAGGAGCCCCGTAATTCACTTTTCTTTTTTCCCCTTCGATCGCAAGTAGCATGTCGAACGATTCCCTCTTTGGCATTGATGTCCCCACTCCGGATCTGCAGTGGCTCCTTGCCCACTACAATGGGTTTGTGCGGTGCAACTCCAGTACGACGACGTGCAATTTCCTCCTCTCACACTTTCGTAGGCGCAGGCTCCAACGCACAGGAGGACTCGGCTGATGCTCTCGGCTCCTCGGCCGGATCGGCCCTATCGCAAAACGTGAACCAGCTCTCGGCTCGCTCCCACCCCACGAGCGCAGTCAGCATCACGTTCATTGCCATCGCCGTGGTCGGCTTCGTGGCCGCCGCTATCTTCACGATCGTCTACGTGCGGAAGCGTCGCTCCGAAATGAACCTCGTGGTCCTCGAGGAAGCCAAGGTCGTCGACCCGTCGGACCAAGAAGCCCTCTTCCTCGAGTGTACGTCGTCTCGTTCTGCTGTGTTTGAAGGTATATGCGACTGGCATGTAGGCGCGACGGCGGATCGCGTCCCCATGGCCCAGAAGATTGATTTTTAAGCATGTTGTGTACAATAATGTCTCTATGTATTCGTATGTCCTTTCTTGTCATTCGCTTTCGCGCTCGTCTTCGTGCGCGCCGTGACAACCTTACAAGTTGCTTCGAGACCATGGACGCGGGACACATGAGGCAATACCGCGTCAATGCGATGGGCCATCGTCGCGTGACCCGCCCGCACCGCGTACTTGTGCGGCGTGGCGCGGTACTAGATCCCAATTGCTACAAGAAGTAGCCTGGCATAAAGACCTACCTTATCGGGCTGGCTCCAATTCGCGCCGGCATCCAGAAGCAGCAAGATGGCAGCCTCATGGCCGTAGCGTGCAGCCATGTGCAGCGGGGCATACCAGCCCTGCGTGCCCACTTGTCAACACACTTGAATAAAGTGCTTTACCCAGGCAGCTCGCGCGTTGACATCGGCGCCTTGTGCAATTAGAAACTTGATCGACTCGAGATGCCCACCTTCGCACGCCCGGTGTAAGGCTGAAACACCCGACTACAGTCTCATGTCATGCCTCCATTGTACGCCCGTGGTCAAGTACCCAGCGGACGTGGTGGATGCTGTTGCCGTCGTGGACAAGCTGTTCGAGCCGCTCCATGTCGCCCGCGCGGGCTGCTGCGCACACCGCATCGCGCATGATCGCGACCTTTCGCGCAAGCCAATGAAAACATTTCGTATTTGCACCAATCACATGGCGCGACGCGCTAGCCAATGAGCGTGGGTTGATTGTTGCACCATGACCGAGAAGGCAAAGAAGACGGTCGTCAAGCTCCAGAAGGCCTTCCTGGAAGAGGTACGTTGCGCGGTCAAGATGAGAGAAGCCTAAGAACGATATTCTTAGGTCAACGGTTGCGACGCCATCGAGCGCCAGGGCCTCCAGGCGCTGTCGTCGCTGGCCAACATTGCCGGTCGCCTGCCGCTCGTGAGCGACACCAGCACGTACGGCGTCTTGGCCGCCATGCACAACGTTGAGACGCTTTTAACGCAGCGCCACTACGAAGCTCTCGAGAAGGCGCGGCTCGCGGTCGCTCAAACCGTGTACGTACAACGACAGACCATACTCTGTCCTCTCTGATATCCCGTCGTAGTGAGTACTTTTTCGACCACGTGGAGAACATGCAGCGCCACATGAGCACATGCGCCGACGTCTTTGATGGTCTCGTACGTGGCCGTTTGCATGTCTCGACATGGGGTAGGGTCAACAACGATCAACGTAGACGCTGACGCCGTCGACGCTCTTTTTGGCCGAAAGCATGGAGTGGATGGAGAACGTCCTTGGCATGTACGAGCGAGAATATCCTTTTCCGCTTCCTCGTTTTGTCTATTCTTTTGGCGTGAATTGTGTGTCCTTGACGTTATGAAGCGCACAGCAGCGCGCAAGAAGGAGCTCTGTCAGACGCTGGGCTACGCCGACGTTGCGCTTTTGCATGCCAAGCACGCTCAGTACCTCTCGTCGAGCCGTTATGGCGCAATCAACCGCGACTACGGTACCATTGATCTTTCGACTGGGACTGCAATGTAGTTGGTTCTAGTCACTCTGGTGACGGACGCGGCCAAAGCCAAACTGGCGCAGGCGGCCAAGGACAAGAAGCTGCCCGAAGAGGACGAAGACGCGTAAGAATGGAAACAAACTAGTAGATTCTATGGACACGTTTGTATCGGCGGGCTTATAGCATGAGCTTCGAGAGGTCGTGCGCACGCGCCCTACGCACAACGTTGAAGGACACGGATTTTGAAAAAAATCGTACCCAAGGAGCCCGAGGGGCGCTAGGCGATGCATCTCTTGGAGCGTCGTGCGTGCGATCGGCGTCGCATGCAGCGTGTGGCGACCGGCTTCGTGGACGCGGACAAGGACGTAGTCGCCCTTCTGGAGCCGCACCGACGGCCCGGCCGTCATGGGCGCAAAGTCGACGAGGCCGGCGTCATGGACCATGGCCGACGCGGCTTCCGGCGCGACCGGCAAATCTAAATATCCGATTTTGAAACATTGATACAACAACTTTTCATCGCACCAGGAAACACGCAGCGCTTGTTGGTGTCGGTCAGGCCCGTGAGGTTGAGCTCCGAGCGGCGGCTGGCGCCTTGAACCAGCACAATGTGGAGGCGATCTTGGTCCTCAACGAGGTTTTTCTGCGTCACGACTGTGTTGTACGTGTCGATGACTTCGGCGAGGCGGCGGAGCTTGGTCGCTTCCTCCTACACGGAGTCATCCGAATGGCACCACACCCTTCTTCTGTCATGCTTAATTTGACATACGACGTTGTCTTCCATGCGGTGCGACGCGTGCGTCTTGGCGCGCATCGAGTAGGCAAACATAAAGGCGTGGTCAAAGCACACGTGGCGCATGATCGAGAGCTACACCGCGTGGGTTCCCATGCTTCTTCTCGTAGAAACAACGTACCGTGTCCTCGTGTTCGGCCTCGGTTTCGTCGCAAAAGCCAGCGATAAAGTCCGACGAGAGCGCGACCCCCGGAATCAAGTTGCTACGCACATGACATTCTCAGCATCAACAAGGTCGAGATGTCTCTACCGCATGTTGTCGACAAGGGCCAAGTACGCCTCGCGCGAGTACCCGCGGCGCATGCGTGCCAGCACCTACCCATCAAAGATTGAAATGCACCAAGAGACAAGGCGGAGCTACCTCGGTGTTGCCGTGCTGCACGGGCATGTGAATCGACTTGCAAATGTTGGCGCGTTCGTTCACGAGGTGGAGCACGTCATCCGGAAAGTCCTTGGGGTGCGGCGACGTGAAGCGGATGCGAATCTCGGGGTCGACGGCCGAGACGCGGTCGAGAAGATCCGCGAACCGAAAGCCCTTGGCGTCACGGGCCTTGAACATGTTTTGAAACCCGGTCGCCGACACATACGCACGGCCTTCTTCGGTCGCACCTGCGACGTTGACATGTGAGATACGTAGGTCGATGGGCTAGTCGATCGACCTTCGGTCTGTCGGTCGTGCCACGAGTTGACGTTCTGGCCGAGGAGGACGATCTCGCGCACGCCTTCGTCACGGAGCTGCTGGACGTTGCCGACAATCGACGCCAGGTCCCGCGAGCTAGACACCAATAAGAATACGATGCGGGACGCAAGGTGCCAAGGGATACCGTTCACGGCCGCGCGTAAAGGGCACGATGCAGTACGAGCACATGTTGTTGCAGCCGCGCATGATCGAGACAAACGCTGCGGGGTTGTCGACGTCGGACCGCACGGGCGCAATGTCGGCGTACGTCTCGTCGAGCGACAGCTACATCCGATTGTCGATTTTTGTTGCTACCAAAAACGAGTATTCCACCTGCACGTTGACGGCCGTGTCTTGGCTGCCATTCGTGAGCACGTCCAAGAGGTTGGGCAAGTCCCGGTACGCGTCCGGGCCGACGACGAGGTCGACCATCTTGTCCGACTCGAGGAGCTTGGTCTTGAGGCGCTCGGCCATGCAGCCGAGCACACCGACGGTTTGGATCGTCGTGTTGGTCGGCGGTATCTCGAGCGGTTTGTTCTTTTGCATGCGCTTCCAGTAGCGCTGGACCTTGACCTTGTTCTGCTTCATGACGTCGAGGCGGCGCCAGATCTTGGCTTCGGCGTTCTCGCGGATCGCGCACGTGTTGAGGAGCACAATGTCGGCGTCTTCACTCGACGGCTTGTCGACGTACCTTGTCAAACGATACTACATGAGTCCTCCGCTGCATCTGTCACGGATTGGAAGTCATACCCGTGCTTGAGCAGGATCGCGCGGACGATCTCCGAGTCGGACGAGTTCATTTGGCAGCCGTACGTCTCGATGTGGAACGACTTGGGCGCACTGAGCTCCGAGAGCTCGCGCACCTTGGATGGCACGTTCACCGTGCTCGCCTCCTGGATGCGCGCATCGTCGACGGGGCCTTGGCTCTCACGGATAAAGTCGGCGAGGCCGGGTCCCGCAAGCTTGGCGCTGTGCTGCACCTTGGGCGCCTTGGTCGAGAGCGAGCGAAGAAGCGAGAGACGCAGCATGACCTACGCCGCCATTGAGCCCATTGCGTCTCGTCCGCCAGCGTGTCTACCTGCAAGATGATGCTTCGAGTTTGCCGGCCAATCACGCTCACAATCCGGACGCTTCAAGTGATTGGTGCGATTATCCGGATGGTATAATCCCGCCAAATATCGACGATCGATGATCGATGCTGATGGTGCAAAGTCGTCGCGAGCAAATTACTCGAGGAACAGACGCACACCGAGTGTTCCATGCTATAGGCGCACCTTGCCGCGCCTAAGTAGCGTCATCAACGCTCCTTTGCACTGTAAAATAGTGGCAAGACGACTTTACATGCCCTTGGGCCCAAGTGAGTTTGCGTCTTGCCAAGGCTTGGGAATTCACCGTTGCCAGCATCAAAAGCGCCGTTGAAGCCAGCGTAGACGCTGCTATTCCGAGCACCACCGAGGGCATTACTAGGTGAGGAGCCCAACTCTTGTTCAGAAGGTCAACGCTAGAGGGAACCATGTATTGGCAGCGTTCACACTGTTGTTTTTGCTTGGACGTCAACGATGTCATTTGGTCTTTGTAACTCGGTTGAGACCTTGCCAGTTGCGTAGCGATGCAACATTTCCAGTACCAACTGGATCATGGCGTTGGGCGCCGGATCCGATACAACTTCAACATGGCGTGTTTTCAGCCAAACGAAACAGAATTGGCAACTGTGCGATCTGGGTTCTAGAAGCGAACTTACGCTCGCGCCTCTCTCGCTCGTCATTTTGCCGTTTGCCGTCGCATTGCCAAGTGAAGAAGGATGTTGCGCTCGCCGCTTGTTCGCCGCTCGCTCTCGCTGTTGAGCGACCCGTTCAACGCCAAGTTGTGGGAGGTGCTGCGCCCGTCGTCGTGGCACCCGCTCGTGTCCCTCGAGCACTCGCTCCACGAGCTCAAGGGTTTTGGCCGCGACAAGATCATGTACGCGGCACCGCACGTGCCGGGCGCGACTCCGTCGGCGAGCGAAGAAAACGAATTCTTTGAGGATTTGACCAAGGACGCCAGCGACGCGATTAGCGGTGACGCGCAGCCGTTTGCCAACTACTCGTACAGCAGCGCCGTCATCGTGGACAAGGATGTACGTATATTTCATCGCGAGTACGTTCGATGACGAAGCGCCTAGGGCAAGCGCCTCGCGAGCATTCGCCGCCGCTACGAGGACTCGAGCGGCCGCCTCAAGGCCACCCACACCCGCGAGATTGGCGACAAGCGCGTGCTCACCAAGTGGAACCGCGCCGACCACAAGGACAAGGGTCGCTACGAGACGGTCTGCGACTCGGGTACGAACGGCTCGGAGAGAAATGGGATATGATCTTATTAGGATCGGCCGATGAATTTGAGAAGCTCTGGGCGTCGACAGAATTCGGATCGGCGTCCAAGGAGCTCGAGGATGGGACGCCAGCAAAGGAGGCGAAGACGCCGGAGCTTCAGGAAAAGGTGGCGTAAGGTACTTACTTAGGTGCGGTGTAGTACTCGTACCGCTCGTCGGTAGTCTAGCCCCATTCTATTCAGTTGAATTTGAAATCAAATGCATTCTACGAAGTACAGGAGTGGTGGAACATTCCACCGAGATCCTTATCACACCACTATCGCAGACCTTATATGGTGGCCACGTAGCTCGTTTTCGCCTGTCTATCCTGGAGAAATTTTTCAGCAACCAATAGTATCAAGTTGATACAAAACGCCGTCGAGCCATCTGGCAGATACTAGGTCAACCATCCAGAGAGTTGAAACCAAATTGAGGTTGAGTTTAGTTGATGTCGATTTCGAGAAGTGCGACGCCGATCAAGCAGTAGAGAATGATGAGCATCGCGCCTTCGAGCCAGTTGGACTTGCCGTCGGCGACGATGACGTACACGATGATCGTGCCAATGACGTACGTGATGGCTTCGAACGCGTTGAAGGCAAGCGACATGGGCGAGCCCATGATCCAGCCGGCGACGACGCACACCGGCACGACGAAGAGCGAGATCTGCGTCGCCGACCCGATCGCAACGCTCATGGCCAGCTCCATGTTGTTCTTGAGCGCGACCTTGACCGCCGTCACGTGCTCGACAGCGTTGCCGACAATCGGGAGGAGAATGATACCGACAAACGACTTGGGGATGTTGGCCGTCTCGGTGAACCCGTCGACGGACGAGACAAGAAATTCCGAGAAGATCGAGACCGCGAGCGTCGCCACGAGCAGCGAGATGATCGACGCAGTCATCGAGAGCTCGGGCTCCTCCTCTTCGCTGTTGTCTTCTTCTTCGGCGCGGTGCGTCACGAGCTGGTAGACCATGAGCAGCACGTACATGAGGATGAGGAAGATCGCCGAGATGTGCGAGAGACCAAGGATCGAGACCTCGCGCGCGTCGTCGGTCGCGTCGACGCCTTTCGTGTACTGGTAGTACGACGGCACAAGCATCGTGAAGCTCGAGACGAAGAGCAGCGACATGTTGATCGACGCGCCTTGGCCGTTGAAGCTCGACTCCTTCGCGCCGCCAAAGTGCCCGGCCATGAAGCACGAGCCGAGCACGAGGAGCATGTTGGAGAGCATCGAGCCAATGAGCGACGACTGGACGAGGCCAACTTCGCCGCTCTTGAGCGCGAAGATCGCAATGATGACCTCGACCGCGTTGCCAAACGTCGCGTTGACGAGGCCGCCGATCGTGTCGCCAGCGTGGTACGCGAGCGCCTCTGTGGACTCGCCGAGGATGTTGGCCAGCGGCATCATCGTGAGAAAGTTGAGGACGAAGACCGGGATGTCGCCCCATTCAGCCACGTACGACCAGATCGCAAACGGCATTAGGAAGAGAAGCGCGTTCACATAGCTCGACGTGAGGAGGTGCCAGTAAGCGTGTGCCATGCTGGGCTTCTCGCCCAGACGCCGCGACGGGCTGCTAATGAGCGGCAGCGTCTCGGCAACGATACCGGGGTTCTCCTGCACGGCGAGGCCCACCGAGCCGTACCCGGCTTCGACGTCCGCGGCGTCCTTCTTGCCCTGGCTCATGATGAGCTTCTCGAGGTGGCGGACGCGGGCCTCGAGCTGTTGCGTGTGGAGGTTGCGCCGGCCGTGGTGCACCTCGATGCGGCTTCCCGCCTTGTGCGTCGAGGCGTCGTGCGAGTCGTCGCTTTGACTCTTAAGGTACTTGGACGCCTGCTTCTTGAACATCGTCGACAAAAAGGAAAAGTGAGAAGCGCGCCACTTGGGTGCCCTCAGATGAAGTTTCTATGGCAAAGTAGGGGTACCCAAATTCCTCAACTCTTTTTTATGAACCAGCCGAACGGCGCAAGGTGGGGGGCCCTACGCGCCCTTCCTTTTGTAGACCAAGGAGGGAGCGCGGACAGGAGATCCAGCGTGCTCATGTTCGTCATCCTATATCTTACAATTATTGCAAATCTTTCATAAACCAGTGTTGCAAACCTTGCTAAGGGAGAAAATAGGTAGAGCGGTGGCCAACCGCAACACGGCGGTGGACACGACACGTTCAGCTGATAGCTATAGCTGCCTACTAAAACAGCCGAATCGTCGAGTGTTTGGGTTCAGCGATGAATTTGCATTTGGGTCCTACGCTGTCTTTGCCCTTTGCCGCTTTTTGCAGCCGTCCGCGATCGCCCCTTGCCATTGTCCCAGCCGAGGCCTTCTGAGCCCAAATCAATCCATTGAGCCAAGGCTCTTTTAAGTTGTAGTCTTGCGAGTCCTTCGTCCTGGCAACGAGAACCTCTGTCATACGCAGTCGTCCGATTGTGACTGGCCTACTTCCCGCATCATCCGGACGATCTATCCAGTGTTCCTACCAGGGATTGTATGCCATACTAGCGTCAAGAGAGAAGTATCCGGACAGGCGGACGTCGACTTGTTATTGTTTTTCGAAGGCCGATTCCGTGCCGGCGACAAGAGCAGCGCCACGATGGACGGGATCATCTACCAAGGCCAGAACATCTACGCGGCCGCGCTGAGCGGGGACTTCCCGCTCGTCGTGCTGCTCTGGGGCATGGCGGCCGCGCAGCAAGTGAGCCCGTTCACGCCCGACGCCAGCATGAACTCGGCCGTGCACTTTGCGGCCGCGGGCGGCAACATTGAGATTCTGCACTTCTTTGCGCAGCAAGCGTCGGCGCTGCGCCCGCACGTGACCGACATCATGGACGCACCCAACAGCGCGGGCGAGACACCGCTCATGTACGTTGCGAGCTACTTTGACGTAGACACCCATCCTACTGCAATAGCCGAGCGGCCCACGCCGGGCAAGTCGCGGCCGCCAAGGCGCTCGTGAGTTTTGGCTGCAATATCCTCGCGCAAGACGTAAACGGCAACACGCCAGCGCACCATGCGGCGCACCAAGGCCATTTGTGGACGCTGCACTATTTATTGGAGGCCCAGCCCTGCGACATCGACCACGTTCTCGGCGGCCAGTGCTTGATGCAGCGCGATATTTTGCACTGGGCGATCGACGGCGGCAATGCCACGGTGCTGCAGTACATCCTTGACCGCGGCTACGACCCGAACGTGCCCGACTACGAGGTAGCCAAGGTCTTTCTACCGTCCCTAACTCCTCTGGCGCGTAGGGCCGGACCGCCTTGCACCATGCGATCTTGGACAGCAACAAACCGCTGATTCAGCTCCTCCTCGCGTACGGCGCCAAGAGCGACACGAGCGACGAGCGCGGGCTCACGGCCATCTCAACCGCCAACAACCTCCATCGGAATACGATTGTCAACATGATCTTGACGCCGACGCTGCCAGCGCACAAGGTGCGGTATTTTCAATCTGCTGCGACAGGCTCTCATGCATGTTTGCGCTTCTAGGCCTTTGCGACCCCGCGGACGACGCGGTTTTGGGTACTCCTCATCTACGCCGTTCTCTGGTGCGGCTGCTTGATGCTGAGTTTGGTCGTGCCGTGGTACGCGTTCTTCCCGCTGCTGCTGCTCGCGATCTACCTCTCGATGAAGACGCTCGCCATGTCCAACCACAAACACTCCAAGGGCCATAGCCATGGCCACAAGAAATTGTCGTCGATTGCGCCGAGCGTGCCGCTCCACTCGGGCCAGCGCCATGGCTCTGTCAGCGGTAGGCCCTTTGCTCCAACCACTAGTGCTTATTTACTGTGATCCTAGGCATTCAGTTTACAGAGCAAGATCGCCACGTCCTCGACGATGAGGCGGCGACCGCGCAGGTCACGTGCGGTGCCCGTGTCCGAAAGGTGTGGAGCGTCGTGGCTGCCCAGCCCGAACTCGCGATCGGACTCTGGTTTGGGTGGATGCTGGCCTTTACGGGCTGCCTCGCGTATGTTATGTACCGCGATTACTTTAGTTCGACGGCGTCCCGTACGACTTGTGTTGTTGCTCTGGTATGCCTCTTTGACGCGCTATTGTCGGTAGAATTCGACTGGTGGACACCCATGCTGCCGCTGGTGTTTGTCTTGGGCGCTGTGGAAGCAACCTGTCTCGTCGTGTGGCTCGTGCTCGTCGTCAGCGATGCTGGTCACGTCAACACGTCGCACGAAGACCTCCCCAAGATGCTGTCCCAAGCAGCATCAGGCGTCGCGCCCGTGGCGACGGAGCACTGTACCACGTGCATGGTACTACATTTTGACTGCAGAAAACTCGATTGTGATGCAGGAGCGCAGGTCGCCAAGCCGATTCGGTCCAAACACTGTGCGCTCTGTGGCATTTGCGTCGGGCGCATGGACCACCACTGCGTCTGGGTCAACAAGTGCATTGGCTTTACCAATCACCGCGTGTTTGTGCTCTTTTTGACGACGCAACTCGTCACGATCGCACTCTACTTGGTGCTGTTCGTGCTCTGTACGTCCCATTGTCGGGTTTTCATCTGCTTTTTCCAACTGTTTTCCGTAGATTTGCGCAAGGACGATGCGTTTCTCGAGACACTTTTGCATTCGTCGCTCCCCGAGGTTGTGCTTGTCGTATGGGCGACGCTCTGCTGCTTGGGTCTCGCCAACCTCCTCCGCACGCAGCTCGCTGGCATTGTGCGACGATCACCAATGAGCCATCTCTGGCGCTCACGAGTCCCCTTAGGCTCGAAATGTGACAGTCAACGAGTCGATCAACTGGAAGCGGTACCCGTACCTCAAGGCTGTTGGCAGCAACAAAAGAACCAACCCGTTCGATCAAGGTTCTTTTTCGATTGGTATTTCTTTTGTATAATTGTGTATCTGCTGTAGGTTTTGGCGCCAACATCGCTGAGTTTTTGTCCCACTCGGTCGACTACTTGAAGCTCCGAGAGGCGCCTCGGCCCAAAATGCTCTCGGGCGACGACACGGCCGTGAAATCTGTGTGATTTTTAAAGTCCGCGCGATGACGAGTCACAAAATGGGCTTTTGCAAGCGCCAACCGTATACAGCGTAAACTTGAATATACATGCAGTATACATATACCACAGAGAAGCCATGAGCAATACAACGCCCGCTGACCTCGCTGCAGAGCTCCAACCGGGCCCACTGTCTGGACCCAGGTCGGAAGCATCCTCGCTGAAGAGACGGGGACATGCTGCGGGGTATGTACGCACAGAGATGTCTTGGCCGTATGCAAGCAAAGCAGGCGGATGCGTGTCTCGTCCAAAGAGCCAACAAGGTTTCAAGATACAGAATCGTGAGAGCATAATATCACTTTGGTCCACGATAGGCGGCGCAATGTGTGGGCTCACATGAAGATGCAGTGGGCAAGCGAGCAAAATTCGAGGGCGCCCACAGATCCGATGGAATTTCAACAAGCCATATTAGCTCCAGCTGTCGCCCTCAATGCCGTGGATATCAACTTGATACAATTCGTTTCGAGAACCGTTTGTCAATATACGAGGTTGCTTTCCTAGAATTACTAGAATTGGCTTCGAAGCCCGCCCTTGCTCTTGCCAATGTGCACGGGCAGCTTCTTTTTTGTGGTTTCCGTCGGACGCCGAAAGAGGATGCGGCCGTTGGCGTCCGTGGCGGGCGGCGCGGGTGCCGCTGGCTTGGCCTTTGGGAGACCAATTTCGCCCGAGCTCCCCGAGACGACGGCGCTGACGTCGCGGCAGTGGTAAAAGTCGGGTGCTGCCGCCAAGAGCCAGCGCGGGTTGATGGCCGAGATCTCGCGAATGTACTCTTGCGTCGTCAGGACGCTCTGGTGATAGACGATCCACTCGGGCGACTTGAGGAACGAGTTGAGCACAGACGTCGGGTGGACATGCACAATACGCCCGTCCTTGATCGTCCTACAAGCCGAGAGTAATCGTAACCAGGAAGAGCGGACCACGTACCGGTACGTGGCGCTGCCGTGCAGCTTGGCCGCGTTGGCGAAATAGCCTGCGACAACGCACTGCAGCAGCGGTTCGGGGTTGGCGCCGCAGCTCACGATGCGCTTCTCGTCCGAGCCAAATCGCTTGACATAGCTACGATCGAGTTCATCTCGCGCCCGATCTCGAACAGAACCAAGACGCACCGCAAGAGCTGCTTGCGGATTTCCATGGCGCGCACCAAAACGCGGTAGTTGAGGCAGTGTTCGTCGCACCACTGCCGACTCGCGTCGTTGTCGATAAACGCAGTGTAAATCTGGAGGTACGTCCAGTGATCGCCCTAGTGTCGTTGAGATTCAGATTCACGTTTCAATCGAGCACGAGCGTACTTGAGCGTGGGCGAATTCGGCCATGCACTCGGCCACCTTGGCCTTGCGCTCTTTAGAGCCTCGGGGGTTGAGGAAGACGTCCTCCACCGAGAGCATGCTCGCCACGCTCAGCGCTTCTTCCGTGCACCTACGGACCATACATGAATATACATACTATATCCCACACACAAGACCGACTTGAAGTCAAAGGATGCGAGAAGCATGCGCGACATGAACGGGTCGACGGGAAACTCGGCCATGTGCGAGCCCAGCGGCTCGATGAGGCGGCAGTCGTTCCCGATCGCGCCCAGCGAGTACCTAACGCATCACAAAACGACGACTCAGCGCATAGAGGGACTCGACACTACGTACAAGACTTCGAGTGCGCGGACGAGGGCTTCCGCCGACGGCGGCGAGATAAAGTCGAATTGCACAATATCGTGGATGCCCATGCTGAGCAAATGGAGCACGATGGGGGCGAGGTTGACGCGCTGGATCTGCGGAATCGTATATTTGGGAAACGCCGTCTTGTAGTGGTCCTGTGTCACGAGGCGGTAGCACTTGCCTACATTGAAACAATAAATTTGGCATCCTCCAAATGGTCGAGTTGTGAAAGCAAGGATTCGAGACGCACCCGGGCGAACGCGGCCGGCGCGGCCCATGCGCTGCTTGGCCGCCGCCTTGGACTCGATGGTCGTCACGAGCGCTTCGACGCCCGTGAGCGGGTTGAAGAAAGGCAGCTTCACAAAGCACGAGTCGATCACGTACACGACGCCAGGAATCGTCACGGACGTCTCGGCAATCGTTGTAGCAATGATGGCCTAGACACCGAGGGCAGCGTGCTGAGCAAAGCAGTATTCACCCCGAGCTGTACCTTGCGCTCGTGGGGCCGGGTCGGTTCAAACACGGCTTGCTGCACGTGAACAGGCAAGGACCCGTAAAATGCCATGGGCAGCAGCGTCGGTGGCGTCGACTGGCTTAAGCGCTCGACAACGTACTCGATTTCGTCTTGGCCAGGCAAAAACACCAGAATATCCCCCTACATTGCGCCAAAATGTCAGAAATATGGAGAATAATTTCGAAAAAACCGGTGGTTCGGTGCTATGGATCTCGAGGATGGTGTCGATGGCTTTCTGGAGGTAGTTGCCCGTCGGCTTGTCCAAGTAGTGGACGTCAACGGGGTACTGACGACCCTCGACCGAGATGGCGACAGCGCTGCGCAGATTGGTCTCGGCTTCCCGCTTCTTGCATGTAAAGTAGCGCACGAATGCGTCAATGTTGAGCGTGGCAGAGGCGACGATCTACGAGTTTGTATCAATCTTGCACTTTTGCAAGCGACCAAGGGTACCACGCGCAGCTCCGGTCGCTTCCGTAGCACCTTCTTGATGAGCCCGAGCAAGATGTCGGTCTCGAGATTGCGCTCATGCGCTTCGTCCTAGGGTCATACATGGTCAAGCCAGGACCATGAGGTATAGGACTGTACGAGCATGATGACGTCGTAGCGCGAGAGAAGCGGGTCGGACATGGTCTCGCGCACGAGCATCCCGTCCGTACAAAACTTGATCATCGTCCGATCTTCGTCCCACTTTTCCTCAAAGCGAACCGCGTACCCGACCTATGGCATGTCAACGGATGCGGTAGATACGTGGGTGACAGACCTCGCCACCGAGCCGGACGCCCATCTCCTGCGCAACGCGCTCCGCGACCGTGATGGCCGCAATGCGCCGCGGCTGTGTCACCACGATGCGGCCGAAGCGGGCGCGGTGGAGGTACTGTGGCGTCTGCGTCGTCTTGCCGCTGCCTGTCTCGCCCGCGAGGATCACGACCGAGGACGTCTCGACCGCGTAGAGGATCTCGCGCTTCCGGGCCGCGATCGGGAGAGCGGTCGTCGGTGGTGCTAGCACAGGGACTGGCAGGTCCTCGCCACGGTCCGAGAGCTGCGCGTAGTTGCGGCCCGGGACCATCATGCTTGGGCGACCGCTGGCGCTCCGCTGCATCGTGCAAATAGGTTCGATTCGGACAATTATGGCCTATTTAGGATCTGCCACCTCCTAGAGATACGTATGCCGAATTAAAAGAAATATGCCGAGAATAAGAAACCCAGCTGTCGGAAGCGGTGTGCAACCTGGCAACACCAAACGTCGGGTATGAAAGGTGCCACCGCTTCACGACAGGCGGTGGCATTTTAGGGACGGCAAGTAAGCTTAGAAGCTATGAGAGCCACGAGGAGAAGCGACCTGGACCGTACCGCTTGTGGATTGCAGAGATTTCCTCTGGCCTCAGGGGGTAGGGTAATACTATCTCCTGTGCAATGAAGTAACATCACCGCAGTTTCTTATCGACAAGGAAAGCTAGTCTACTGGTTTGGACTACGAGCGCCACTACGTGGTCTTGAGCTTCACGGGTACGTGCACCTCGACGACGACGTTGTCCCAATCGCCGCTCTCAATGTCTGCGCCCATGGGCACCTTGATGTACACCTCGCGGCTCGGACCTGCTTGCTCGTACTCGGAGGCTTCGACCCATGGGAAGAGCGCTTCGTACGCGGACGGGATATCGCCCATGCCACCGCGGTGTGTGTACACGGCCATGAGCGCCTCTTCGAGGTCCTTGACGACGATGCGGTCGTGGGGCTTGACTTGGTCCGCCGGGTCCAAAGGCGCGCAGACCGCCATATCGATCGGCTCCATCGAGTAGTACTGCGAGATGGTCGGGCCGCGGGGCGCGAGGCCTTGGCTCGTCATGAATTGCAAGAGCTCGCCCCAGAGGTCGCCCTGCTCGCGAAAGGACGCGAGGCTCGCACGGAGCAGCGCGACGCGGATCGGCTTGACGGTTCGGAGTTCGACTTGTGCCATGGCTTGCAAAAAAGGAAATGAGCGAGAGAAGATCCAAGTCATCCTAGAAGCGTCCGTGATTGGCGCATATCTTTTCAGCGGGCAGTGTGATTCGCTCCAACGATTCTATTCTTGCCAATCAGTCGCAACCCTATCTCCCACCCGCGCCAAGATGCCGCTGGCTCCACGCAACCTGACTTGCCGCGCAAATGCAATGGAGAGGTTTCAGCCAGGGTTTCAGCACCGCCGAAATAAGTCTAACCAAGGTCGGCAGATTTGTCGTTTTGGCTGGAGTATATAGCAGTGTCGAGGGAATCCAAAATGCGAGGGGTGCATTTGAGCAAAATGCTTCAGCTCAATGAGCTTTCGGACCTAACTGCGACGACCGTGATCGCGGAAGCGTCTTGCACTCTGAAATTGCAATTCCAGTAAGACCGCGGACCGTAGTACAACAAAATACTCAACGGTTGAGCTGCTCGAACACGCTGTCGACACGTTGTCAGCGTCTTGATTGCTTTTGCGGCACAATGGTCCATTTCCTGTAAAAACGCATATATATATACATTTTTAAAGGAGCTCGACCACCCG